GGGAGGCTCTCGAGAGTATTCTTACATGAATGATATAACCACATAGGTATGCGCCCACGGTCCAGCAGAAGAGACCTAAGGCTATAAGGAGAAGGTTCTTAATTAAATAAAAATTCTTGTATCCATAACGATCAGGGTACTTTAAGCAGGTGTCCATAAGAGCTGGGAAGATCACGGACATCATTGTCGTGCAGAGATTTCCCGTAAACGCCACGAACGGAGCTTGGAACGGCACGAAGTAGCAGATCATAACTGGAACCAGAAAAATATACCTAATGTAACCAAATAGTTAATGTTTTTGATCGTCACGCGTTTGTCCTCTAAAAGGTACACAGAGGTTCACATGCACATGCAACCAGTTATTTTATTAGTCGTTGTTGTTGTTGTAGGGGTTGAATCAATTGTCATATACGGGACATAATACCAGACTTCGTGCTTACACTGTGAATTTTCAGGATAACCCGAAAAAATATCAAAAATACTTTTGCCAGATTGGGAAATCAAATCCAGTTGCACTCGCGAACACTCGGCCAACGACATTACGTTTAATTTTTTTATATAATTATAAGTACTTTCTAACTGTGGCTATTTTATTATGACATACATATTTTTTCTCTTCCCCTATTCTAAGGTTGATTCTATCTCTATTCTTAATATCTGTTCAATGGTTGAGCAAGAACACAGACAATGAGTTACATATTTCTCATTATTCATACAACGATTATTTAGTTCTAAACGAGGTGATAAGAAGCCCAAAAATGAGTAAACGAAACATTCACTTACAAGTTAGCAATACGAAAAGTGGTCGTCCAAAGATCTCTAATCTCTTCAGCATTTTATTATCAGGGACAGCCATGGGATCGTGGTACTTGATAACCTCTATAATCACAGCGATGGCGGGATAGCATTGTATGGGGTACGCGAATGACACAGATATCAGGTACAACGAGAGGATCATCAATGCTGTCCTGTAATGTGATCATTTTACTAAGAAATGTGTGGGACATTGCATTGAAATACAATTCTGACAATCCCTCTCAGCATCTCATTAAAAATGTTTAGGTTGCTACGAGGGCTACGAAAAGCACACAATGCTACATCAAGTTATCTGCTACGAATGGTGAGCCAGAGAGAACTGCTACGAGCGCTACACTAAGCTACACGCTTAGAGCTACGTTTTGCTACACAAAGTCACGCTTAGCTACGAGTACAATGTTAGGTTACGTAATGCTACATCAAGCGCTCTACTACGATAGTAGCGTAGCGTCATCTAAATCGATCAATCAATCGTAACCTGGTTACGATAACTAAGAATGCTACACTAAGCTACGTCCTGCTACGTGTGCAAGAATTAGTTACACAATGCTTGTTAACATTAAACTATCGGTTCTAACTATCTGCACGGTATCTAGTTGCTTCTTATCATAAGTATATGGACATATTGTTACATACATAATAAGTATCACAAAACTTTGAAAAATAATAGTTTTTTAGTAGGAATAATTTAAAGATTGCCAATGTGAGTGAATTAATTAAGTCGCTCTTTTTGTAATTACACTTCATCAAGCGGCAGTACTCGAAGGACATTCTCTTCCATGGTGCCGAAGGACCAATAGCCGAGGCTCCCAATGATCATGCTGCACACTGTGGCCAACGTCATTCCGACACGGATAACGCCAAACCTGCTTGTCATTAGCCTAGGATTCTCCAAATTTTTGTCCAGTGTTAGAATCTGTAGAAAATGCCACTCGATTCGTAAGAGCAAAACGATTCTTTAAAAAGCTGTCAAGCGGTCGTGTGCGTATGGTCTATGGTAGAATACTTATTGTAATTTAAATATACTTACCACGCCGACTGCACTTAAGTTACACAAGAACGCTCCACATGCAATTAGTATGGGCATCAATTCATTAGCTGCATATCTGTATACCTTTGCAGGGTCACTTAACGTTTGGTATATGACTAGACTTAATCCCAAAAGATTCAACATAGTACCTGAAATTAGTTGGACATTTAAATGAGACTTAAATAGCAGAGTCATGCTTCTGCACAAATGGATCGGCTCGACCGGAGTGATACCACGGCATCACAGAAAACCGGCGTGAAGCAATACTTACCTACGTTGCGTTTCGCCGTGTGAGTGAGGTTATTGGAGGCACAATCCTTCCCCCCAACCCTAATCCTCAAATCCCCTACCCTTAAATCCCTAATACAACGGCTGGACAACTGACCGGCAACGCACTTATAGGTATAAGTAGTAACTACTTTGGTATAACGAGTGTCCACGTTGATTGCTTAACATCAGCTTATCCAATTGCCGACCCATGACATAAAAAAAGAAAAAAAAGACTGAAATACACTTTTAGAATACAGACGTAAAATTACGCGAGCGTTATTTCGCTGTATGAGTGATGTGCGAACACAAATTCGCCGCCCAGTGCCAAAAAAAAAACATCACGCAAGGGCATGTAAACTCTTTGCTAAAAAGAAGGCCCATAACATTTTACCGACATCGAGATCTTCTGTTTACAAGACGCATTCGGCGTTTGTGATAACTCAAATAAAGAAAAAGTAATCAAAAAGTTTCACCTGTTAATGAGATGTAACTGACAATGGATAAGGTTTTCATGCAAAACTCTAATAAGAGATAGGGGGGCAGCAACGCTAAGAGTGCTGTATTGTTGCTCTGCCAGTCCATGAGCTGAAACCAGCTAAATTACATTAAAGTTCACTTTATTACGTACGACGTAATGAATTTTATGAATTTGAGAGCTGATTCTGATCATTATCATCAGGTGGAATAAATCAAAGAAAGTTTTAAAGTAATAAACTTACATCTCTCAGGCTGTCCGACGTTAAAATTACGTAAATTGTACAAATTCCTAGCTGACTCATAAACATAAATATTGCAATGATTTGTCTGAAAGAAAACGAAACATTAACTTATCCTTGTAGTTTTGTATCCTGTAAACTGTATTTGAAACTGTATATGCCCTTTCTAGGATTATATATGTATGACGTCCACAGCTAGTCTCAGCTGGACTAAATCCTACCCCTTAGTTCTTCACGCCGAACGACAAGTCGCTACTCGCATCCGTTGGCTCTCCGCGACTCTGACGAGGTCCTCTGTCCACCTAGCAGGTGGTCTACCCTCGCTAAGTCTTTCGGTCCGTGGTCGCTACTCGAGCACTTCTCTGACCTATCGGCCGTCAGTCTTTCGATCGATGTGGCCAGCCCACTGACACTTTAGCTAGCCATAAGATTGAGATTGCCCATATCAGGTATACCTATATCAGGAATAAATCCCAAAAATACTTTAACCACCACTCGAACAATGAGGCAGAGAAAGTATTAAAAAAATGAGAAATCGAAAAGCCATTAATATTTTTCTGCACGAGAATTCGATGTCATTTGGTATTTTTTTGTAGGATAGGATCTCATGATGGCTTGCCTCCAGGGCATTCTTTGGATGTTGGACACCATCAGCGTCAGAGAGAAACAGGAATCACGCCTTTCATTCGACAGAATATCTCTTCGAAAGTAATAGGTTCTGTAAGGTATTTCGATTATCGTGAGTATTTGTTATAAGTACTTACGGACCATGTTTCCCTATGCACTGAAAAAGGGGCGGACCATGGAGGACTGCTAACCGAAACCCATATCTGTAGGATACGTATGGTATTTTCAGTTGTCTCGCTATTTCATTTAAACTGTTTAACTGGAAAATAATGTCTAGTGAAAGTTATTTTCGAATCATGGGTTGTCTTGTTGCATATTATAGCATAAGATTGAATGCGGCGGATAATAGGTTAAGAATTAAGACACAGCAATGTGATGGTTAGGAACTTTACTTGCCTGTAGGTACAACTCGAAAAATAAAGTTATCCTTTTTCATGTAAGACAATTCAAACTACATACCAACATGATGTGCGTATGTACGAGCAGTAGTCCATAACAAAGACCAAGAATAGGCCCCAAAATGATGCCAGCCTGACTGATGGCTAAAGGCATAATCAGTACACCAGGCCCAAATAAAGTCCTTATTATGTTGAAGTACGCCATCCATGGCCTAAAGATGGAAAGGTCAGACTAAATTGGTTTTACTTTTTTGTACACTGTCATTAACTCTTGTTTAAAATTTTAAATTAAGAGACAATATCCAGTGATCTTGCTAACGCAACAATAAAAGGAAATCGTTTTGCTTTTTCATATTTTTCTGTGTGTGTGCTTTTGATTTACGTTTTCTAGTGTAAACATTCTGATAATCCTGATAGGTATATGTTTTGTCCTCCTATACTGCCGTTAAAACTATGGAAAACGGCTACTAATAGGGTCTAAATTTACTTTATGGGTGCTTCGGGTTTCCTGTGGTCAAGTGGATTATAACCATCATCTGCAAGAGGAACCGAAGGTAGGAGGGCCGTTCTAATGTCGATTTTTTCCAGAAAATTATGTGGTCTTATTTGTAACCGACCGACACTCTCATATGCTGCCCTGTAATTGCAAAATGTATAATTATACAGATTCTTAATTATGTATATCATTGTACTTTCAAAAACCTAGCGTTTATAGCTGTTGTGGGATAACGATCTCAACATTACATCAAGATTATTGACACTTACATAGTCAGAATATAAAAGATAATTCATTAATAATGCTACAATAAATAAATTCTTATTCAAGGCGCTCTTTTTTGAATCGCAACCGAGTTTCCGATATGCTGTCAACGCTCTCATCGCAGACGTCGACCTTTCAAGGATGTCAATAAAGATGACGATATTGAATCGCAGAATTAATACGAAGGTCATTTTAAATAATAATTTATAAATCGTGTATATTTTAAATTTGCCATCAACAGGAACAATCTTATTTGACCACCAAATCTGGATTTAAGTGGAACTTATCTAATATTGTAGAGAAGATCACAACTTTAAATCTACGCTATAACAATCTTTGTAAATCCGCAGATTGTTGACAGCTGTTACTCTATCTTGTCTATTGTTAAAAATGACAGCAGCTAGTGGAGATTGATAAAAGGTGGAATTGCTGTATTTCGTTAAAATCCTTTCATGATCTTTTATTTTATATCTTTTATCCTAAGTCTCAAGAATGATGTCAACGACAGAAGGCGAGTTGGACGTTGAAGTACCTCTGGAAAGGGAAGAGGGGGAGGTTAGAAGTAACTTTTACTTTGAACATTTTCGATGATTTAACTAAAGCAGTTTTGCGATGATGCTTTTCGATTAACAATAGATTAAGTATATTTTTACTCAGTTTATTGATTGGCCTAGCATCCTGAAATGACTCTAGTGAGTAACATTACCAAGAAAACAGTAAATGACGTCTTAGGGCGTACGCGGTAAAAAAGATTTTATTGCGTTGCAGTTGGAGGATTCAGATGTGGAAGAGGGTACTTACAAACCTCTGGCTAGGCCTGAGGCCTTCAACCCTCCTTCGCTAGTTCATATGCAGATACAGGATGAGCAGAGCGATGAGGGTTCGCCGCGGGAGTCGTCAGGGTCGGAGTCTGATGACGAGCCGCGGCGCCGCGCCAAACGGACCAAGCTGAGGCCACGCCGTCCTGCTCCACAACCAGATAGGAAGGACAAGTACAACATTTGGTGCAAGGCTTTACAGGTACATGGATTATTATTCTATTTCTTTATAGAAGAATTAATTGTGTATGTTGTGTGTGAACATGAATTCCACGAAGATGTTTTCTTTATATACTGCTAAACATTTCTTATACTTACATTTTCTAACATTCATGGTCTCATCTCTAAAAGGTAGGTAAGGTACTCCCTGTCAATATCATAGAACTGTAGTACCTACCTTGTGCCACTTGTAGCAATACCAATATCTTGTTCATATTGTCTTACTTATCTATAAAACTCATTGTTTGATTACAGGAAGACTTGTTAACAGAAGACATGGTAAGCTGTGATGTATCAAAGAAGAGCAGATATGGTGTTGAGTCTTATGATTATACTATTAAGTATAGATTAGATGATAACTTTATTAATAAGAAGAAAATATTTAGTAATAACGATGACTACGATGATAGTGAACGTGTTTCTAATAAACGGAGGCGTGAGGATAGATCTAATGTGAAATTAAGGCTTGGGAAGCGAGATAGTAGTCATAATCGTAATGACAAACTGAAGCCAAGAATCCTTTGTGACCTGGTTGTAAGCGCAGAGGACACTGCGGAAAATATAGCTGACGAAATAGCTGATAATCTTTCAGAGGACAAAAAGGATTTAGTGGGTATGTAATCCTACTTTTATAATTCTTATTCTGTAGAACTGATTGAATCCTATACCACTTGTAAAATATTGTTAAAATCCTAACAGTCATATCTTTAAACATTGTGGGACCACATTATACATAATATCATGAGTAAATATTACTGTAAATGAACCTCTGGCCTGTAATTAGTTACAATCTTTATGAGGAATATATTTTTTCAGGTCGTATTGTACAAGTAGTTGGTGCTAACAAGGCTATAGAAATATACAAAGAAACACAAAAGTTAGAGGCGGATGGTGGCATGCTTGTTATGGTAAGTTGAATATCTTCTAAGTTAGTGTTAGAAGAATGGTTTTCAGCTTATATATTTAGTGTCCTTGAACAATAAAAACCAAGAAATACATTTACATCTGACTGCAGAGTTTTTGTCTAGAGCCCCGGTTCGGCATTCCAGTGTAATAGTCCCGGGATGTTAGTGCAAGCACAGTAATATACCTATATTGTGGTCCGCCTCAGAGCAGTAGAAGAAATTGGAGTGCTTTATAGTCACTATGGGTCTGACGATCCATTTCATTGATTTCCCAGATGGATATATACATTTTCCAACACAGTTCTTAATTTCCTTGAGGCAGTGTTTAGGCATTATCATGGCTATATCTACTTAAGATATGGGCTTACAGCAAGTTTCGGAATTTGTAAAAATACTCGATGTGCGGAGGCTTTCTTATACTATACTACAAAAATATCCCCTTTTACACACCGCACACACTGGCATTACAACTCATAGTTGCATATGAATGTTTCAAACAGTATGTGACTTATGTATGAATATAATATTGATTTATGATTTAGTGACCTACAAACTATGTTGTTGATAACGTTAACTTGGACCGCGATGACGTAACCAACTGTAATAATTAAAATATTACCGAGACCGCTACACGCCTTTCGGTCGGCTCTGGTTCTGGTCGGGTGTCGAGGAACCCGTCGTCGTTGCTAGCCGTCGACAGACCCGGACTGACCGACCATTTGATTCGACTGCTCGTTTGCCTACCATAAAAAAGTTGTGTTTTGCTTAATCATGTTTGCGACTTTGTGGGACAATTGAATGTACAACGAAATATTTTCTTCCAGAACGGAACGCGTCGCCGGACGCCGGGTGGCGTGTACTTCTTCCTGTTGAAGCGTGACGGTGACGTGTCGCAGGAGATGGTCAACCAGATCTTCACCGAGGACCGCAAAGAAACGCAGCGAAAGATCAAGCGAGCGCGCGCCAAGAGCCGTCAGACGGTTATGGAGCAGCTCAAACAGAGTCTCACAGGTATATTTAGTATAATATAATTATATTTATCGTATCTTAAATGTGGGAGTGCCATGCTTCCGCACGAATAAGCTCTCTCAGCCGACGTGATACCACGGCCTCACAAAATATCAGTGTGAGAAAATACTTGCATTTTATTTCGCTGTGTGCGTGTGGTGGACAACCCACAAAATACAGGCAACGCTCTTGTAATTTATTCGGTGTAAAGGGAATCCATGAGCAGCGCCCATTTGAGTTTCATGAACTCAATAATCTTGAAGTTGAATACCAATCACCTTTTTGTTTCGTTTCATCAACCCTCGACAGTTGTACCTAAGCTGTTTAGCGATTCGTTTTGCTTTTTCTAATATGTATGTAATATTTGTTCTAGATTCCGAGCTGCCGTCGTTGCTATCACGTGGCGAGGCGACAGTACAGTCGGAACACGGCTCCAACCCGCCGCCGTCGCCCGCGACAGACGCGCGCGACTGTTCGAGCGACACGGACGCGCCGTGCGACGCGAGCGCTCCGCCCCGCTCCCCGCGCGAGTACGACGACGACGACTTCCTCGAGGTCATGTGCAACGATGACATGGACATGTTCTAGGCGTGGCCCAGCCCTATCCATGGACTCATTGTTCCAGCGAACTGCCAACCTAGGTTAAGGTCGCCGGTAAATCCAAAGTTGTGTACTCGAATAAGCGCTTACCGGCGCGGTCCGCACTACAAGTGCTCGCGACCCGCCGTCCTCTGCGATGACGCTGCACGGTGCTCATCTCTGCCCCATCCGAAGATCCTCGTTTTACTCCTAAGGGCGAGTGTATAAGTAAGTCGTTTTAAGAGTAATACAGTTGTAGGTACTGTTACTGCGACGATATATCGTTTTTGGTAAATCCTGCACATAACAATTGTATTGTAAACACAGGGAGATCTTTATCACAAATAGTATAAAGTAACCATCGGGTATAGTTACGTATTAATTTGAAAACTTTCAAGTAGTCTAACAACACTGAGAAGCCGGTGGCAGAGTCTGTTTCAATTTATATGTTCTTTAAGGTTGAGATTCCACTGGCACATTCACTTGATTATTTATTGCTAATTCATTTGTAGACCAAACAACACTGATGTTGCACTACTTCCTAATATACCTCCCCGTAATGACTTTATTACGAAATCACTATTTATTATCTTTATACTTGTCCAGTGCGTCTCCCAATCAGGAGACAGAGTAATTAAGACAGACTGACGACTGGGGCTGTATGGCAGCTTCTTACTAACTTTTGTATTAGACGTAAGTACGTAAAACTGCCAATTTTTAAATGATTATAGTGTACTATACTGGGGACGCTCAAGAGTTTGCTATGTCTAATGGTGCGAAGAATTAACTTGGAAGTGTTCAGTTCCTGTGTCGAGTGCTTGCAAGTGTTGAAGTAATGTATGTTAAGATTGGCTCGTAGTATTACTAAAATATACTTATATATTCACAAGCGAAACAGAATATATTAACAAACAACTAACTCGTGTAGTTTCAGCAGTCAATAGAAGTTTTGTGGGAGTTTAGAGACCATATTCCTTAGTTTTCATGTTGCACTCCGTTTGGAATAAAATAATTTGATGTTGAAATGTGGGTTTATAGATAATTTCGTAAAATAGATGATTGTTAGTTTAGTACACATACTCGTACCATTTCCTTTTAGACAAGTTCACATTTACCACAGGTATGAAATAATTGTAGATAAAATGTTAACTTCCCGCTATATTCCACTAGTATAGCCAAACCAATTGAGTTTATAACGCAAAACCATTTAATTATGTGATATTTAAATTCATGCATTTGTGTGGAAAGCGCCTAAATAATTATAACGCTGTTATGTTGATTCGATGGACTCTTACCCTGAAAATATTTATTAAATTATCTTTGATCTCAAAAACTGAAGAGGAATTGGGTTTTTATATATAAATTATAAAGGTAGTAAACGTCAAACTTAGAGGTGCATACATATAATTCAATAATATATAATGATGTATAATATTATTATTATAAAACCTGGGCATTATGGTGTTCATATCCGCCTATAAAATTATTTTTGTTACTAAATAATCTGATTGTCTCTGGTTTTGATTGAGCTGTATAATAGCTGTAGAGGTAGACAATAAATAGCTTATTTTTTATTTATGGCATTATATGCCAAGAGTGTGGTAACACTACAATTATCCAGCCAATGTTTGCTGCACTTCTTGGTGATGCCTCCTTTGCCTCAGATGACAGGTACTGTAGGTACCTGTGTATGTTACAGGTAAACCACAAGTTTTTATGTAAATTGACTGGTTGGTCGTATTAAAGAAGGGTCAATTTGAAATATAGGATAAGCATATAAGAATCTTGTTGGTCTAACTGTTTTATACAACTTGTGTATAATAGATTGTTGTGTTAAAATCAATTATTATGTATGTATCGCAAAAATGTTGAAAAGGTCTGTGCGAATGTTCTTGGGAGCTATTGACTGTCTTTTATACTGAAGATCCTTGGAAGTGTTGTGATGTTGAAAATGTACAGTTATCTGAATGTTACTGATAGACAGACTCTCGGAAATAATTTGTATAATAAAATTGATAAAAAAATATTTTTGGTTTCAATCATCCATAAAAGTTTGTGTTCTTTATCTGATTAACACTAGTGTTTTAAATTCTCTACTATAGTATAAGGATTCATATCCCCGTTGGATGTTGTACTTATTATGGCTGACACAGCTTAACAGTAGATTCACATGCATCTCTTCCTTGTATACTAATCTCATACAAATAAGGTCTTAAACAATAAAACCAGCCAGTATAGTTAAACTATAGGTTAAAATAGATTTTATTGCTTTCATCAATTATTAACAACCAAAGGAATGAACAACAGCGTTAGATAAATCTTCTTAACACATTATAATTTTTACATCTAGTGAACAGTTTACATGAAAAAATATTAAAAAATATAGTATTTATATGACGCATGAAGCTAATACCTAAGGAGGTAGGAATGGGCAAAAGCAGCTTATAGCATGGCAAGGAATACATCTAAATATAGGTAATTTCAAATACTTGTACTATTTGGAATATCCGAGTATGTCATGTTCATAAAAAAATAATACTGAGGGCTGTTATCTGTTGGTTTTCTTTTATGGAAAATCCAGCATCTGAAAAAAAAAAGCTCTTTTAATATGATGGAATTCAACAGAATAATATTCTCCTATTTTTTCTCTTTCTATTCTTCAAAGAATGATTTTATTACAGACATTAGAACCTAAATGGAATCTACTAAAAATGAATATCAAGCTCCTACAAAGGCTCATCACCATCATATCTGCCACAAAACATTCACTGCTGATCATAAGGCTCCCGAAACTTATGATTTTAAGCTGGTTGAAAGCAACCTGCATTCTGTGGTTCCCTGTGACAATAATTAGGTTGTTTGTCCACCTTATAGGTCTGTAATACAGCTATGTGTCCACCTTATAGGTCTGTAATGCTGCTATGAAGACCATGACCCTAGAAAATATAAATATTATCTAACTCACCAGCTGAGGCAGGCACTTCTCAATGTGTTCGATATCGACTCTGTCACAGCTCTCGCGCAGCGCGTGCGTGGACGCTCGCAAGCAGGTCTCCGTGACCAAACACTTGGCAACCTCTACCACCAGGGACAGAGCATCGTTACCTAGCTTCGTCTTATTGTCTTGGAATGAACCATTCAGAAGTTCTTTGATAACTTCCTGAAAATAAAAACAAACAAAAAAATAATATAGATATTTTCGGTTTATTTTGTAAAATAAGTGTCCAAATTGTATAGCAACATCAGCAAAATTATTGTTTATTATAAATTTTAGTTCTACGAGTGGTTAAAGAGTTTTAATGCCAATTTAACTGCAATATACATTGCGCGAGTAATAAAATTATCGACCAAATAATGCGTAATACGTACCTGTTTTATGGTATGCTTCACATTAGATGTTACGGACGCAGGATCAATACTGTCCTCTTCGTTCTCGTTGCTATTGCGAGCCATTTTAAAGTATTATCACTTACGAATTTGGAAAATTATTTACAAATAGACCAAATTTTCGGAAGACAAAAACCTTTCACAAATAAATAATTGACCCGCCTAATGCGACATTCCGAACCTGACTTCTTACAGTTGTATAAAATGTAGCATAACAATTTCAATTTGCACGACGTGCCAAGGCAGTTCTAAAACGAAATTAAAAGAATACAAATTAGTACGACGTTCAACATATCAATAATAACGCCGAGTGAACTGGAACGCCAAAAATCTATGACGTTATTTGGTTCGTTCAGAAATTACATATTTTACTAAAGGTCAATAGACAAACTCCCAAAAATTTAAAACCTTAATACAATTCTAAAATTTTAAATATACTTTATTTAAAATTGCTTTTTAGTCCAGCAAAGTGAAATACCCTTTCCAGCAATTTGCCATCCGTCAAATCATCATCCCGTCAAATTGGGAAATCACTCAAACGGATAGCAGTTCTCTAACAAGAGAACATAAGAAATTGCGTACCTTGGTAGGTAGGTATTTAAATAATTATATTTCGCGTCAATACCCGCGTAATTATATGTTGTAAATAAGAAATTGCGCTTTAGACGATAAGCTAATCGGCGGCGACCTCTCGCACCCGGCCCTAGTCGAGTCGAGGCCATGGTTCGTTAGGTTCATAGCGAGAGGAACTGGGAAGCCGTCTCCTCTTTCTGCAAGCCTTTTCTTAAGCAGCGATGCTCGCAAAGGAGGAGGCGGAGCGCGTGAGGGAACTGTCCTCCTCGCGCCCCCGCCGCCGCTGTAGGCGACATTCCGGGCGTCGGGGATCTAGAGATGATCTCCGGCCACAGTAAGCGCGGGTCTACGGACGGCGAGTAAGGGTAGTTCGCCGTCCGCCCAGAATCAGACCCGTACGTTGCGTAGCGTCCCGCGCGCGCCTCATAGAGCCAATAGATCACCACAGACGGGGCCCTATAAGGCTGATGTTCAGCGAGGAATGCGGGCTAAGCACAATGAATTACCGCGGCCTCGGCCCAGAGCAGGTGAAGGAACGGGGGGTTTTTGGTCAGTAAGAGTCAGACACTCTCTCTCGCCTTACCCTGGGCGGAAGAAGATAAACGAGGCCATAGCAATCTTGAACTGGAAAGGCATATTTTGACTGAGTCTTATAGCTAATACAACCCCCATTAACCCAGTTTTAATATTATTTTGTTGCCACAGTATTATTCAATTTCGTTGGGAATGCTTGAAAAATCTGTTAAAATAAATAAAAAGCAAAATTAAATTACATCAGTCTTTATTAAAATTTAATAAAATAAATCCATTTTGAAGAACGCCGGGGTACACACAAATATAAGGGCAAAAAAACATAAATATGCCCTTCATAAATGGGACAGTTAGTTTATTCAAAATACTAAATCACGACGGCTCGACGTTGCCGCGACGCGCACGCTGCTCATAAGTAAGAGTCCCGTTGTGATTTGAAACTAGTAGAGCTTTTCAATAATACACATACACACAGTTAGTAAATAAATGATAAAATATAAATAATATACTACCTACATACAGTATACTCAAGGTTTAATTTAAAATCTTTTATTCATGTCCTGGTTGTGTGCCCCGGCTATAACTCAGCAGAGTTGTAACAAATACAACATTCTAGTTGTAATATCATCTGTGCTTTTGTCAGTCAAACTCTCAGCGATTATACTGACAATATTTTTCTCGTGAAATAATTCTAGAATGGTCTTATCTTGCCTTTCTTCCGGAGAGAGATGTTCTTTTAATATTTCTAATATTAATTTATCTTCGTCTCTTTTCCATTCTGGGCCTTCAATCTTCACTGCGCCTTCATCGTACGTGAGTCTTGATGAGTTTGAACTATCATTGAATTCCTGCACTTCAGTTTTATTGACAGTCACTACAAGTGCCATGTTCTGATTTTCAGATGTTGGCGTAACGTACTGGGTTGTTTCTCCATTTTCCTGAAATATGATAAAAGTAAATATTAGGTCGACGCCTATGTAGGTAATTAGTATACGCTTTCCGGAGCAACTGTGTTTTTGCTAATAGTTCAAGAGCCCGTGAGAGCCAGACCTTCGGATTTTTATAAAAGCTAAGAGTTCTTCTGTGTATGTCCCCAATACAGGTAAGAAAGGTCCCCACCCATGAAACCTGGGTAGTGGTGGCTTTGGCAGGTAACAGGTAGCAAAGGTGTATAAAATTCCACCTCAAATTTATTAAGTTATAAAACTCAATTTTTTTATATTTTATTCGTGATAATATTAAAACTCGCGTTGCTCATTGCCAGACACTTAATATGGTTACAACCCTCTGCCGGACACCCCTGAACTATTATAATTTGTAACTATACTTACGTTATATTATAAAAGCTAAATTTTATATATGTTTTTTGGACAACTATTAAATATTATTTCCTTAATAGCCAGACAATTTCGAGGGTTACATCGTCCAGCCAGACGTATTAAATGTGCACAATAGTTATGAGTGAGAGGAGTATATGCAGCAACGGGTGCGAGTGAGATAGAGCGTGCAGTCTATTGCGATTTTTTACTGCGCATCTACTGTTTTTAATTCCGAATTTGTCAGTAACATTTTTTCTAATTTTTTGGAGAAATTTCATTGAATAAAATTAATACAGTCTGAATAATAAATTTTTAAAGTAATATTCCGAAAAATTTTATAAAAAAATATTAATCATATCAAAAATCTAGTAACTCAATTGAAATTTCAAGGCCATAATAATTTATTTGTTAATTGTATGAAAGAATAATTTCTTTGTGAGTTAGAAATTTACAGAAAAATAAATTCATTTAAATTAAATATTCAAAAATCTTCTTCATTGTCATCGTTGATGTTGACATTTTCATTTTCGTCGTCACTGCTACTCCACTCCCTAAATTCATCGTTATCAACATCGTCTTTTTCGCCTGCTTCTGCAATAGTAAAATCAAGTTAATTTAATTTTAATTAGTCACAAATTAATGTAAAATAATTTATCATAATTATTATATACCTGATACAGTTTTTAGAGATTCACTGACATAATTTGGTAGTTGATCTCCTTCAAACCATTTAAAATGGTATTCATCATTTTCCAGAATCCAACCATTACTTACTGGCTCATATGTTGTAGGGTTTTTTAAATGAGCATTATTCCAGATACAACATATATAATTTGCTCGCAAAAATTGCTGTAATAGCTCACTTTTACAAGGTGGTAAACTACTTGCGTCGAAATTTCGCAATTTTTTTCGATTAAAAGCTTCGTTCACATCAGACACTGTATAAGAATCGATAAAAATTTGTAGTCTAGCAGCATCAACATCATTTATATTCTCAACATTGTATAAATACCATATAAAACTTTGAATAACATTATAAAGGTCTTGTTGTTCAATATTATCTTCGATGATTTTGCTGTCACCAAACTTCATGAAGGCTTGCTGAAATTCTACGTATTTTTTTAATATACTATATAAATGGTTTCAATTTCGCTTTTCTAAAAAATGAAGGATTGTAATCACATCCTGTAATTGCATGTAATCCAGGTAAGCTTCTACAAATTGATTCTCCCAATTTTTCGTATATCTTAGTTAGGTTCACATACCTCAAATTATTTCCAGTTCCTGTAAGCATCCAAACTTGCGACTCATCATTTAGACGGTGCATATGACCCAGCATTATAATAATAATAATAATAAATAATTTATTTCAGAATTGCTTCCATAATTTGTTAGTAACAATGTTCTTAGCCTAAGTTAGTACCAGTATAATAAAAATGAAAACAAAACAAAACAAAATCAATGAAAATATTTTAGGCACTTGCTTTCGCGTGTAAGCCTATACAGTGCGCTATTAGTACGGAATCCCACCGGCCTCCGCACGCGGCCAGGATGGCGCTGGGGCTGCCGCGCACCCGGGACAATAACGATGCACTTCGCTTGCGTATGACGGCGTAAAAGCCGTCCACGCGCGCCTCTGCGAACATACCACTGGCACTACAATACCGCGGCAGCCCCATCAGCACCCTGAACGCATTGTTGTATTGCACACGCAGAGCGTTGTATGTCCTCTGCGTGTATTTGGTCCACAAACTGCATGTGTAAAAGGTCTGACAGAAAGCTCTAAACAGTGTGACCTTCACTTGTTCAGTACACCGTGCGAATCTGCGAGCCAACATGTTACAGCGAACAGACAACGCCCTGCGTTCCCTCTCCACATCCATATCATCTTTCAGATCCTCAGTAACCCAGTGGCCCAGATACTTGAAGTGAGTGACTTGGTTCAATGGTGTACCATAGAGTAAGACGGGAGATACCTCTGTGACCTCTTTTTTAGGTGCTTTAAAAACCATAATCTCACTCTTTTTTACATTGTATCTGAGCCCATGGGCCTCCGCATACTCCTCACATATACTCAGCAGCCTGCGCAACGCGCCGATTGAGGGGCTGAGCAGCACCATATCATCCGCGTAGCTTATATTATTTACGCAAATCCCATCTATGTGACACCCGATGCCGGTGCCGCTCAGCTCACCAATCAGGCGGTCTATGTATAGGTTAAATAACTTCGGTGAGGTCAACCCTCCCTGCCGCACCCCACACTCTAACCTATATTCCTCCGACCTACTAGCCGCCCACCTAACAGCATTATTCTGATTATTGTACCAATACTTAAATAATGATACAACTTCAGGGGGTAGACTAGTATCGTGATACAATTTAGTCCACAGGAGGTCGTACGAGACCAAGTCGAATGCCCTGGACAGGTCCAGGAAACATGCGTATACTGGCGTTTTACGAGCGGTGTAGTATTGCACAGTCTGCTTGAGGCACAAAATCGCACTTTCAGTGGATAGACCAGTTCGAAAACCAAACTGGCCATCGTGCAGTTTTATATGTTTCGTTAAATGGCCGTCAAGCAAACTGTCCAATACCTTCGCTATAACCGTGGCTAAGGAGATTGGCCTGTAGTTAGACCTGTCCGAGACATTTCCGGTTTTGTTTTTTACAATTGGGACAACAATGGTATACATGAGACCATCAGGCAGGTAGGAGTGGCTAATGCACAGATTAAACAACAGAGCCAGAACCCTAGGCAAGTGTACCCCAGCATATCGCAGGTGCTCTATGCTGAGGCCATCATGACCTGGAGATTTTCCTCTTTTCATAGATTTGATAACTGTATCAATGTCCTTTGCAGTGAACTTTACATTCATATCTCCAGGTATGGCCCCAGCATCGGGCACCGACATCATCTGAGACCGCGCACGGTTCACAAACGGCTCAACTCTGAAATGCTGCCGAAATAATCCCGCGATGGCATCCGGCTCGCTTTCACCCTCAACGCTCACGGGCCGGCTAGGCTTTATATTCAATTTGTTGGTTGATTTCCAAAATTTTGAAAAGTTATATTTGGAATGGTGTCGTGCAATTATATCCATCTTAATTTGTTGTTGGTTATTTTGACACCATTTCAATTTCATCTTAAAGAGACGCCTAGACTCAGTCATTTCATTATAAAGCCAACCCGAACTAGGTCTCCCATACAACAGCCAGTTCTTATAACATTGCCGAGCATTACCGTGAGCCTCCCTCACATGCTTATTCCAGCCTATAATGTACTTCCCCCGACCGGGGTTTGAAGTCGCACAACAGGAAGATTTCGCGCCTTCTGTCAATACACGTACTACATTTCTATACATATCCCTAATTAAAGCTTTATGCATATCACAGTTACACATTTTATCAGCACAAGTAGCAAATTCTGGTGGAAAATCGATAAGCCGCAAGTTGGCGTGACAATAATTATGGTACATTTCAATTTGAGTAGGCTGCCTTTCGCCCCATATTACATTATTTTTAAATTCATTACACATTACAATTTTAGGTTTTATTAAATTCAAATTACATGTCAATTGCATCGGATAGTGATCAGACCAGTAGGTATCATATAATATGGTCACATCATTGATGGTTGCGCGCGCGGCGCTCGTAACCACACAGTGATCGAGCCACCGCCGACATCCATGTGCCTCGCTAACAAAAGTATGTGAATCGTTAGGCAACAAATCGAGATCAACACAAGTCCATGATTGTTCCACGCAAAAGTCTAATAGTTGCTTTGCAAATGACTCACCCGGGTGCGCGTTGAAATCTCCCAACACATACACAGATTCGACGTCACTAATAGCAACAATGGAATTTATTTCGCCTAAACACTCCGTAAACTCGATTAAATTGTCGTATGAGTCTGTAGGCATATACACAGATAAGATTAATAAAGAACGCTCATGTATTTCAACCTTAATGGCCGCTATACGATCACTGTTACACTTTAACACTGACACTGAAGGAAACACCGACTTTCTCCATAGCACTGCTACTCCACCGTAAGGTCGGCCACGGAGTACGCCAGCCGACGTATCCACTGCAGACTTGCCAGTGAACGCAAACTGGTCACTGATGCTGTCCAGGAATGGGATATCATGCGGCAACAGCCACGTTTCCTGAAGTGCCACAATGTCAGCTGTTTCACATATTTTCCTTACACATTCCGCAGATCTTATAATATTTTTGCAGTTAAATGTTACGAGTTTAGTTTGATTACTCATACGGTGGGTTAGACTACACACGGATCAATTACTTTGCACTCACAATACCGGAATTACTTCTTGCCCTAAAGTTAACAAAGCGACGGTATGCGACGCCTTCTGGCCAAAAATCGTCATTCAAAAAAGTTTCCAGTTTATGTTTTGGTACCAGTATTTTATACGCATCATATAATTTTGGTACTTTCATACTCATCTTTTCCAGGTGTACAATAACATCAGTTTTACTCGCTATGTAATTCTGTATGTCACACAGGGACACGTCCTTCGAAACATTATACACATAGATAGGAATGTTTATATCCGCAGCTTTGAAATTCGTATTCGCGTTTGAAACTGCCTTTCCTCTACTAGCAACAAAGCGATTCCTCAGACGTCTTTTCTGGACTAGGATCCATTCTTTGTCTTCCTTTGGTATTTTCCAGTCACCATTGCGTACAATATCAGCTAATGATTTCCTATTACCAACACCGTCATGCTGTCTGTTCGGAGCGGCCGTGTGTCCCGTATCGCTAGAAGGATCGATCGCAGCTAGCGATGTTATAGCAGCAACATCAGTATCAATAGTTCGGATTATAATGTTTGCTTCATAGTTGATTTTGCACGCATGGTACACTATCTTGGTATCTGCTTCTTCATGCTCCGGGCATGACAATTCTTAAGTGATACTTGATATAACTTTGTTTGTCTCATTAACCATGAATGAATGACACTTTCTGAAATTGATATGTATTATTTTGCCACCAATAAACGGCGCCATTTCATCACTAACCCAATGTGAAATGAAAAAATCAACTAGAGCTTCTTTAAAATTTGAATTTTTTAATTCTTAAACGAAGTCACTAGGACGAACTTGTTCAGGCCCAGTGATGGTATACTCTAATTGTGTCGATTCAAATTCGCACTACATAATACAGAATGAGCAGCTGATGCGCAGTAAAAGTCGCAATAGACTGCACGCTCTATCTCACTCGCACCCGTTGCTGCATATACTCCTCTCACTCATAACTATTGTACACATTTAATACGTCTGGCTGGACGATGTAACCCTCGAAATTGTCTGGCTATTAAGGAAATAATATTTAATAGTTGTCGAAAAAACATATATAAAATTTAGCTTTTATAATATAACGTAAGTATAGTTACAAATTATAATAGTTCAGGGGTGTCCGGCAGAGGGTTGTAACCATATTAAGTGTCTGGCAATGAGCAACGCGAGTTTTAATATTATCACGAATAAAATATAAAAAAATTGAGTTTTATAAATTAATAAATTTGAGGTGGAATTTTATACACCTTTGCTACCTGTTACCTGCCAAAGCCACCACTACCCAGGTTTCATGGGTGGGGACCTTTCTTACCTGTATTGGGGACATACACAGAAGAACTCTTAGCTTTTATAAAAATCCGAAGGTCTGGCTCTCACGGGCTCTTGCTCTATAAGGAATGAACAACGCGGCCATCGCGGCGATTGAAGTTTGCACGTCGCCAGTCATTTTGTAACAGTAATAAAATTCCAACTAATGAGTATAGTAAAAAGTTTCTATGGGAAAGTTGTTTATTATCATGAATACAATATAGATCATTAGTTACCTATATATTTTTAAGGGCCGAATGTAAAAAAACTAAAAATATTGAACGATTAAAAGTGATGTGGGAGTTGTTAGTTGCTAAATTTATATTATTTCTCGTATGCTAGGTGGAAACTATTGTATTTTTGTGTGTGTTAATTTAACAAACATCTCCTACTATCTGTAAGTTTAATGCACCCAGATTGACATAGGGTGTAATATATTTATAAAGAAACCTACATCTACTCATGCAAAGGATAGCCGTTGGTAATACACATGTATTATGGATTTTAATAAATAACTTACCGTTTTAATAGGTAGATGCCGAATGTGTGATTCGGCGCCGCGTCTGCTGTCGCCAATGTCGCTTTCGTCACTGTAAACAGTAGGAACGATGTTATACAACATTATATTTATAACTTGAAATTGAAATTATATCTTCTATATAAATTAAAGAAAGTCGTGTTAGTACTAGTAGTATTATTTATAACTCAAGAACGGCTGAACCGATTTCGTTGAGAATTAGTTTAAAAACAGAAGAAGAACATAGGATAGAGTACAATAGGCAGGGTAGGGTAGGTAGATAGATAACTAGGTAGGGTAGGTATTCAAACAAAGGGAGTAAAGCCGCTAGTAAAAGCTCGTAGATTATAGTTGGTTGGCAGACAACATCTGCGTTTTTCATAGAACGTCTTATTCATACGGCGGATATGAACTATCGTTAACAGTATTTTGGACCTTCAAGAAAAAGGTATACTCTGTACTCTTTCTCAGAAGGCCGGCAAAGTGACTTGTGACTCCTCTGGTGTTGCGGGTGTCCATGCCCATGGCACTGATCTCTTACAATCAATTGGTTCGTCACTTTGATTAGTAAATTAGACAAAAAAAGTAGAAAAATGAACCACCGTGAACCATATCTTCAATATTGTTAATTCCATATCATGTGATTTTTTAGAGTCAGACTTCTTATTTATTTATTACACAGTAAATGATGATATTACAAGAAGAATAAAATAACAATAACGTACAAACGCACAGCTTATTTCTTCAGAAATCTCTTCCAGCAATTTTAGCAGAATTCAGTGACAAAAATTCGTATTATATATAAAGTGGTATTTTAAATTCTGCAAGCAATAAACCGTTTGCTTATTTAATTAGAATGTTCTTGCTTATTTAATATTTTCTTTTAGCTTTATAATCTGTACAGTTCATATTCTTATTAATTTTAGTATTTTTTCCATACACACCTCATAGACTGGTCAGCCTCGTAGTTAGTGGTCGTTTCCTCCGCGACAACGCTGTCTTCGCACATCGTCTCCTGCGCCTTTGAATTCGTTGGTAGAGAGGGATTATTTTGAGCTGGTAATGTTGGCTCCTCAAACCTGAATGTATGAATAAACAAAAATTTTACATTATATAACTAATGATAAAATAAAACTAAAGAGGATATAAAAAAGTTACTTTGGGAAAGTTAGTGTAATTACTAGTTTACCAGTACACCCTATATCCCAAAAGTAATGAAATATAACAAAGTCGTGCCAAGTCTAAGGTCCTTAAACCCCACAAAAGCAAAAAACATCATGGGTCATGTGTGAGTGTCATAAATGCAAAACTTTGCTTTCGCTTAACTTCGGAACTAAATGATCAGTAGATTTGAATTTTTTTTTATTTTTTTAAAAAACGTTGCCCCACACCATGATTTTCTCCTGTGTCGTGGGTGCATTTAGAAACATACAATTTCACATGCACATCACACCCAGACCCGAAACAACAATTTATGGATGACAATGTGTTGCTCCGTGCGGGAATCGACCGTGCAGTCAAATTTTGGATTTTAAGTCAGTGATTATAGCTTACTGGATGATGAAAATTTCTGCGTTCTGGTCTAATCCAGAGGTTCTCAAATAAGGGCCTGAAAATGCGGCAAATTGGTTCCAGTAAAGGATGGTACGGCAGCGTTTGCTTCACGCTCGATTTGGCGGGGGCAGTGCCGTGCCACCAGATTGTTTTTTTTCAGATATAAACTGACTTTTACTAACCTGCCCTGCCGATGTGGAAACAGAGAGTATATATATCTCGCTAGACCCGGGTATCCGTGCACAGTGTTTAGTATCCCGGTACACAGCTCGCACGCTGTCGACAAGTTCTTTACGAATACTTTGTGTATCTCTGTCAAAATAATATGTCTTCTCGCCAAGTCTACAACTTGTTCCTGAAAAACAATTTTGTGATACAAAATAAAATATACTGTATACTATCTATGTTCGAGTTAATCGAACACTCAGCGAAAATGTATAACTGGGTCGATTTGAGTGAATCGAACACTCAGCGAAAATACATAATTGCATCGATCGCAAGTATGCACATTCGCTAGATTCCCACAATATCAGACCAGTTCGCGATTAAATCTCTTTTGAGACACCACGCACTCAAAACCATAACCATTACCATTTAACCATTACCAATAAGTAGTTATATAGTTTACCATTTTACTTTATAACTCTTTATAGTGATTCAATATAACTGTTTCCACTTTAATTGAAGACTTTAACTTTAACCAAATAAACCATTAACATATCAATACGAAAAAGTTGTGCTAGGTCACCATAGTACCGAGCGCAGCTTTTTACATGGTCCTTCGAGCCGGATATGAACCAGTGACCTATATATATAAGAGTATATCTATACTATCTACTCTCACGCGGTTTCAACGGCTGCTCAGCTCCTATGGCATAAATGGACTAATAGCCTATAGCCTTCCTCGATAAATGGACTAACAAACACAAAAAGAATTGTTCCATTCGAACCAGCTGTTCCGGAGATTATTACGTTCAGACAAACAAACAAACCCTACAGCTTTAAAATATAAGTATAGACTAAAATTTGTAATTTATAAGTTTGTATCTAGGGGGTAATATTTGGAACCGCTAGTCGGATTTCCAAAATTTTATCACTGATAAATAGCTAAAATGTTCTTGAGTGTTATAGGCTATAAAACATCACGCTACGATCTATAGGAGCCGATTAGCTAATGAAACCGCGCAAGAGGAGCTAGTACTGTATATTGAATTCAAATTGCCAAAATAGTTGTGGTCGTTGTGGTTATCAGATCCGGTGTGACTAGAAAGTAGACAAGTACACCCGAATTGCTAATCAATTTAATGTTTGATGATAATAATTGTTTAGTGTAACTTGTAAGCTACAATAAAATAATTTGAAACTATTAAATGATTTATTTACGTATTAGGAGGCAAACGAGCACCTGAGGCGCGTAGGGTGTCCATGGGCGACGCTGATTACTTACCATCAGGTCAGTAAAGCCGGTGTCTCTTTTATTATGTGATAGATCGGCAAACGAGCTGACGGATCGCCGTCAACAACGGAGGAGTTACGAGTGCGTTGGCAACCTTATGGGAATTAGGGGCTTGAGAGAATTGAAGATTTTGGGATTAGGGTAGGAGAAATATTGGGCTTAACCTCAAACGGCGAAACAACGCAGAGTTATAAAAGAAAAATTCCACTCACCTCAACTTTCTCAACCAATTTCGTCAGACAGTTACAAATGAAATAATCTTTGAATGCATCGATTTTATCAGCCTGTTCGGGTGTCAGGAAGCCGATGAATTCTTTGTAGAGGTCAACTAATTCGTTTCCGAAGACCTTATCTAAATTAAGGGCTAGTTGTACGGGATCGTGTTCGTGTAAATTGAAGGTTTGAAGAAGCTTGTAGATCTTTCTTTTTATGCTTGGGTTGCGGGCCATTGAGGTCCGTATTAAAAAGTTCAATTGAAACTTGGTTACAGAAACTGTAAAAAACACACACAAAATTATTTGTTATTCAAGAAGTAGTTCAGGCCTGTCTTAATTGGACAGTATCTGGATAGGCACATTTGAATAAAAAGCCTATAGGTCATTCCAGACTATAATCCACGCATAATGTATCAAATAAATTTTAATACTTATAGATTGGAACGTTTGCAAACTTTTAGGCATCTGCCAGGGATTTGCCCGATTAAAAAACCTATGTGTTATTCCAGACTATAATCTACTAGGGTTATAAACATTCATTCATTCATATTTCAAAAGCTCCGCGTTTATAATGTTGGTACAATTGGCCACGTACGTATAGTTATCGGGAACTTTGTGGGTGTAACACGTTTAAAATGTCTCTGATTACAGTCGATAGATATATTTCGAATGTATTTTCAACAATGGCAAAAGTAACAGATGCTGAAATATATACAAATTAAAAACTTCAAAAAGAAAAACAACTTTTTATCGAATGGGCCAATTAGTCCCTGGACTACACTCCTAAGACCATTTTTAATGGATTTAGTGCAAAAAGAATGCAGCTTAGCATTTATCTTTATGAAAACTATGCTATTTAAACAAAGGCTTGTAAAAATATATATATACAATACGAAACTTACCGATATCATCTAAATCATTACAATCACTTTCAAGTCTTACATTACTATCTTTGGCACGCAACAAACTTTGTAATTTGTTCTGAAGCATTTGCATTGCGCTTGTACGCGTGAACTTCATACCATTCACAAGCAATTTCAACTTATTACTTATCCTTGGCAATCTCTTCTCCTTACAACCACATTTAGTTTGTATTTTCTTGCCAAAGAAATCTGTTATTAGAGTCTGTTTTTCTTTGCAGATTTTTCTTAACAGAATGCAACACGTACAGTGGTCAGTAACCACAGTCGTTTGTGAAGTTCTAGAAGGTTCTGTAGTGACATTAGGGTTGGTTTCGGCTGTAGTTATGATTGATTGTATAGTGTTCACCGTATAAGTGTGTGTTGTCGAAGGCATAAGGACAAGGTAGGGTCCTGTACTAGTCTCCACGAACTTATATAGATGATTGTACAGTTTTGGTTGTTCAGAATTCTGCGTTATTTGTATGTCGAATTTCTCCGGTTGTGGCGTTGGCGTCGTTTCATTCACTGCACAGTTGGTGACTATTTTGTTCGTAAAACCTATCGGTAGAGGGTTCTTAGCGGGCGGATTTAATACTTGTCCTATGTTTATTTCGATTCCTTTAGCCGGCACTCCTGTGCTATGCGTTCGTTTCATCAAATAACTCTGAAAATTAAATTTAGTAAATATTTATTGTTTTGTTGATTGTATTGGGTGCAGGAGTTAATCACGAGTTTTTAATTTAGAAAATCAATACGGATATTTTACTATTAGTCAAATTTAATTTTTTTATCGAAATGTTAAAACTATAGGCAAGTTTCTGTAGATTGTGTATAAAATACTTCAAACTTAATGACGTCATAATTTTATTGCGTCAAATGACACAATTATTACAAAAAAACATAGTATAAAGCAGCAGCTTAAAATAATTATTAAAAAGGCAACTATTGTTAGACATTTTATTGCATTCAATTCAATTCAAGCTAGTAAGCTAGTAATACATACCCGGAACCGCTTACTAGTCTTGGCGAGGTACCGCAGCCAGATACGCGGGACTTCGTGCTCCGGATGCTCGTACAGCGACATCTGCGGGCTGAACGAGAGCAACTTGTGCTGAACTGGACGGACCGTGCCCGTCGTTAGGTATTGCTGAAAATAATAATATATGTTATGTTAAAATACTTTGTGTTTTTTTATGGAATAAGTCGGCAAACGAGTAGGCGGATTAACTGATGGTAAGCAATCGGCGCTGCCTATGGACACCCGCAACACCAAAGGAGTTACGAGTGCGTTGCCGGGAATTAGGGTTGGGAAGGGATATGGGATCGAAATACAATGCTGTAGATGTTTTACAAGGTCCTGTGGAACCACTCCAAAATGGTAACATTCATGAACATGAACGATAAGTATATTTAAATCTACTTTACACCAGTAAAAGGTTAAAAATGAAATGTTTCCTTACATATATAGGATTATCCTTATCCTTGGAGCGGCGTATGTGGTTGATGTGGGCGAGGATCTGCGAGGGAGGCAGCCAGGGCAGCAGATGCCGCGCCAGCAGTCGCAGCGCGGCGGCCAGCCCCGCGCGCCCCGCCCGACGCGCCACGCTGCTCTTTACGTACTCGTAGAACTGTTGCAGCCCGAGCGCTATCAATCTGAACATGGAGACAGCTTTATTTAATCAAAATAACGACTTAGGGCTGATTTTTCAATGGTTAAATAAAAGATATCTGGGGAATAATTATGATGCTGTCGCGTCAGAATGTTTGAATAAGACAGTGACAGCAACAATTTTATTCCTTAAATAACATATATCTGACTTTTGAAAAATCAGCCCTTAGTCACGTGAATTAAGTCGGAAAAGCTCCACTAGTTTCAGTTAGGAGTCAGTTTTGTAGTACTTAGGTAAAAGTCACGTTACAACGAAACACGAATTTATAATGAGAGGTTCGACCATAAGTGGAACAACAATTTGTGGATCACAAAAAGAGTTATTTCGTGCGGGAATCAAAACCACGACACATTACGCGGCGGCCAGTTGCCCAGCTGCGCTAACCGTGCAGTCAAAGTCAAATAATATCCATTAATAATGGTCAAATTTTATTTTAGTTTCACGAAGTTGAGGCGGATCACTAGTTAAAAATATGAATAACTCACGCGTCCTCCGAGTAGAGGTAACAGAACCGCTTGGACGTGAGGTCTCCGCGGAACGGCATGGCGGGCAGTAAGTACGGGTACAGGAACACCGGACTGTTGGCCACCACCTTTAGGAACGTCTCGTGAAATTCGCCCACGTAAAACTTCTTGTTTAGCCCACGATGGCGGCTGGAATAAATTCATTAAATTAGTAGTAGGACATACAAACACACACACACACACACAAAAACGCGCGCGCGCACGCACGCACGCACACACACCCACACGCACGCACGCACGCACGCACGCACGCACACACACACACGCACGCACGCTCGAGCTACCAAGTGTAGGAGTGCCATGCTTTGGTGCGAATGGGCTGGCTCGACTGAATAGATACTACCATCAAACTGAAAACTGCGTGAAAGAACACTAATTGTGATGAGTTTCCGTTTGAAGTTTGACCGGAGGCCCAGAAATTATCCCATCTTAGGGGGAAGGAGATTTTAAAATCCTTAACTCCTCCTATATAAGGCCGGCAACGCACAGTTGCGGGTGTTTATGGGCCGATTGCGACGATCAGGCGACGAGGCCGTTCATTTGCCAGCCATTTCCATAAAAAACTACTATATTGTGGCGTTTGCCACAACCATCGAACTTAGAGGACGGCATGACGATGCTAAGCGCAAACCTTAGGAGTGGCTCGATCAATCCAGATGGTGTTTCATAATATAACATAATTATTAAGCCTTATGGCAATTCAATAGCAAAAAAGTGAATTCAACTTACTTTCTATCGCATTGATTTTGAATGAATCTGAAAAAGACGAAAATTAGTGTTAATAATAATTATGAAAATAAGGAAAAGTATATTTGGCTTCTAGGTATCTTATATCTACCTAGAATGTTCCTGAGTGCTATCGTACTAAAATTATAAATGCGAAAGTTACGATGTTTGGATGCTTGTTACTCAATCACGCCAAAACGGCTGGATACGCTACTTTTTATCAACATACCACGCAGGCGAAGCCGCGGGCGGAAGCTAGTAGGCTATAAAACGAAAGTAACTAAATAATATAAGATAATATTAAAAACTCACTCAATCATCTCCCTGTTTTCAGGCGTGTTTTCCGACATGGTGGTCTGCCACGTGTTGACTAACTCTAAAGCTGGCTTCAAGTTGCACACGTTGGCTACCGACTTGGGGTTCGCATCCACCATCTTTGAAAATGTTTCCTGTAATATAAATACAAAGAAGTGTCATTTGATTAGTGTTGTACTACGGCCTACGTGTGGGAGAGCCATGCTTTGGCACGAATGGGTCGGCTCGACCGGAGTGATACCACGGCCTCACAGAAAACCGGCATGAAACAACCACGCGCGTGCGTACAACAAGCGTTGTGTTTCACCGTGTGAGTAAGGTTACCGGATGCCCAATCCTTTCTCACTCCCAATCCCTAAATCTCCAAATGCCCTTATCCCCAAAAGGTTGGCAACGCACTCGTAACTCCTCTGTTACGGGTGTCCATGGGTGGCGCTGATTGCCAGGTAATCCGTCTACTCGTTTGCCGGTCTATTACATAAAAAAAAGCCTCGCAGAATACCCGAGTGAAACAACGGAAGCCCAATCATCATAATCATCATAATCATCAAGACGTCTACTGCTAAACAAATGCTTCCCCCACGGAATAGAAAATACAGTGGAAGTGCCACTCAGACATCGCGCGCTAATCAACATGATGTATAGATTTTCAACATTTTGGGACATTCGCCGTCAGAATCGTTCGCTCCGTTGTCATGATCGGTTGTCATGGTTGTCTCTTAGAAACACGAAATATATTAGAAATTATGCCTTGTTGTGCGGTTTTCAACTGCAAAAAAGTAAGCAGAAAAAAAAATGTGTCTTTTTGTGGTGTATCGTATCATCGTTGAGTATTAACCTTTGTTAATTTTAAATATATTTGATTTTAATGAAAATATCACAATTCATTATTTCAATGCAAACTATAAAGGGCCTTATTTTCATTACAATTAAGTTTAAATCTACTTGTTCGTTATGTGACGTTATATACAATATATGCCAGTAGTTTCGACGCTACTCATTTAGGGATGGGACACATTCGTAAATTAGGTTCGTATCGAGAATTTTTCATCATCATCGTTCAGAAAATTGATTTTTGATAATTTTTGAGTATAATTCATAAATGTTTAACTAAGATTGCATAGACACATCAACGTTTTAACCACACACAGCGTGCATCCGTCTGTGCTAGGTGCATCCGCACTTAGCACAGACGCACAGATTAATCACCATTTTTATTTTATAATGTTGTACTTGATTTTTAACAGAGTTGCAAAAAGGAGAGTGACTCTCAATTTGACCGTACATGTTTTTTTTTGTTCGTTCGTCTCCGTTATTTATGAACCGATTTTAATAATTCTTTTTTTGTTAGAAAGGAGATTAAACTTGTAGGAGCGCGTAGTGCTATAATAATAATATGTTAAAATCGAAATCTTTAATAATAACTTGACTATCTCCAATAACGTTAAATCTTAAAAAAATGTTAAATTTTTTTTTTTTCTATTAGATACTTTTTCGTTACTGATCATTTCTAGGTATATCGTGTCGATAAATTATATTGCTCACACGAATACAATAAATAATATCGATATATTGGGATACCCTGCCCTATCTGAGTAGCAAAATAGTAATGTCAATTGGTACAAGTGCATGCAAATATGACATCTATTTCAAAAAGGTTAGTGTTTTGAATAGAATGAATTTGTTACAGCGCCATCTAGCATTGAGTGGCTGAACCCGTTTGTAAATAGTTTTATTTAAGTTTTCTACACGATAGACGCCCTTATTGATTGTGACATGTGAAATGATAACAACTTTCGCTCATTGTTATAAGACTCATTTTTTAACAACATTTAGAAGATGATTTGCTAAAGTTGCGTTACAACTTTTTACCCAATTATATAGTATTTTTTTATGTGTGTAATGGACAATTTGATTTGCGAATGTGTGATTTTGGCGACACTGGTTTTCCTTTTGAAAGAGTGTAGGGGCACTTCTACTCAATTTTCTGTTCTGTGGCTTCCCCTTATCCATATCACAACACAACTGGGGGAGTTCGAACAATCCTCAAATCTCCTAATCCTTGAAAACAATGCACTTCTTACTTTTATATGTAGTTTTGGGGTTTCCATGGGCGTCGCTGATTGCTCACCATCAGGTCAAGCTGTCATAAAAAACGAAGTGTGTTTGTCATAAAAAACCAAAGTAGTCTGGTACCTGTCTATATTTTCGATAACCAGCGCTGTCCATTGCCACCCGCAACACTATAAATGGAAGGGCATTACCGACCTTTTGGGATACTTGGGGATAAAGGATGGTGTGAGGATTGGGTCCTACGAAGAAACACAATCAAATCTTATTTTTTCTACAACACATTCAATATTATGTAAGTACATCAGTTTTCGTCATCTTTTTCTATTAGATTGTATTTATTAAAAAACTGCTTCGAAATTCATTGCGTAGTTTTGAAGATTTAAGCATACTTGAGAACGGAGATAGCAAACTAGCGTTATGGTAGCTATGCATAGCATGAGGAGGCGGTTTCGAAACCTGGCAAGTAGCAATCTGACATTTTCCGAGTCATATTTTTCTTTCTAAGTTTATGTAGACACCACATACCTACGGTGAAGGAAAACATCGTAAGGAAATCTGTTTGAAATCGCCAATCCGCTTAGCGCGGGCAGAGTAAATAGTGCTAGAACCTTCTCTGTGTGAGAAGAGGCCTTTGCTCAGCAGTGGGCCCTAATAGGTTGATGATGTATGGATGAAGCTTCAAAGCCTTATTTTAAATTATGTAGTTATGATTGTGAACAGTGAGATACCTATATCCCGTGCCGATAACGAATGGGATTAGCGCATCTATTCACTTCTCGCTCGCACATTATTTTCGTCTATACTCACACTCGTTGGTACCGATAGAAAAAAAAAGCATAACAGATAGACAGAGACAGAGTTACTTACACATTTATAATATTAGTATGGATATTTGAGATTATTTAAAGTTATGAAGCGAAAATAGTTTATATCCAACCTTACCCTCTCCGCAATTCAGGTCCTAATGGTTTTGTTGACATTTTTTGTACCTAGGTACGTAGTAGTCTCAAAACGATCACAAAATAACTAAAATAAGCTTTATTTTATTTCATGAAATAACGAAACATTTTCAGCTCTAACAATATTTTTTAACGTAATGTAGTTATTAGTTAAATTTATTGTTATTGTATTTTTATGCTGACGCTCCCAGTTCAATGAACCGCCATTTCTAATCCCATTCTTTATTGGCACGGGTAGTATAGATCAGTAAGTTGTTTGGCTAACCAGATACTCCCTGTACTTGGCGGCGTACTCCCAGTGTATGGGATGCACGTACAGCTGCAGGAAGTTGGAGGTGGCCAGCTGCACGTGCTGACGCAACTGTTGCTGCACTATCTGAAGCTGCTCCGGCAGGATCTGGGGAGGGGGGGGGGGGGGGGATTTATTGGCATGGCAAAACTACATAGTTGGTTGATCTAAAAACTCTTTAAGGTGCGTTCACAAATCGATACTATACTTTCCTATGAACTTTGTATGAAAGCGCAAAATATGAAGTCATATTTTTTTAAGTCAATGAACTATTGATTAACTAAAATTCGCGGGTTACTCACGTGTAAATGATGAGAAAAGCTCTACTAGTTTCGAACCACAGAGGGGTTCTTCCTCATGAGCAGCGTGCAGGCTGCGCGACGTCGCCGCGTCCGCGCACGCTGCTCATGAGGAAGAACCCCTCTGTGGTTCGAAACTAGTAGAGCTTTTCTCATCATTTACACGTGAGTAACCCGCGAATTTTAGTTAATTTAGTATGTCTCACGATAGTTATTATAAAAACAGAACTATTGATTTTTGAAAATAATAAAATAAAATAGATTTTTTTTTTTATTTCAGACAATTTTATTTAAACCCTTGATTTTATATACATAGTCTGGCCATAAGTACTGTTACAATTAAAAATAAACAAAATATTACATTTGAATTTGGAATCTGTCATTTTTATATAATTTTTCATTGTGTTTTCTAATTTTGGCGCCCATAAATTGTTCAATATTTTGCGATATTAAAATGGAGTGGGGTGATAAAGAGAACCGAATCGCTGTGATTGCATTACACAAAGTGGGTATGGAGCCAAATGCAATTTTTAAAACTCTCCACACGCTTGGCATTAGTCAAATGTTTGTGTACCGGGCTATTAATAGGTACAATGAGACCTCTTCTGTTTGTGACAAAAAAAAGATCTGACCGTCCACGTAGTGTTCGTACGAAAAAGGTGGTCAAAGCAGTAAGGGAAAGAATTCGAAGAAATCCAGTCCAAAAGCAAAAGATTTTATCTCGGGAGATGAAGATAGCACCTAGAACCATGTCGCGTATTTTAAAAGACGACTTAGGACTTGCAGCCTGTAAGAGACGCACTGGACATTTTTTAAATGATAATTTAAAAAAGAATAGGGTGATAAAATCTAAACAACTACTGAAGCGGTACGCAAAAGGAGGTCACAGAAAAGTTTTGTTTACGGATGAGAATTTTTTACAATTGAGCAACATTTTAACAAACAATATGACCGTATTTATGCTCAAAGCTCTAAGGAAGCTTTTCAATTAGTCGACAGAGTGCAACGTGGGCATTATCCGACTTCAGTGATGGTTTGGTGGGGTGTTAGCTATGAAGGAGTGACTGAGCCATACTTTTGCGAAAAAGGTATCAAAACATCGGCACAAGTGTATCAAAATACCATTCCTGAGAAGGTATTTAAGCCCCTTAACAACACCATGTTGCCGGGTCATAAAGCTCGGTCCACGCAGTCTTGGTTGGAAACAAACGTTTCCGACTTCATCAGAGCTGAAGACTGGCCGTCGTCTAGTCCCGATCTTAATCCGCTGAATTATGATTTATGGTCAGTTTTAGAGAGTAGGGCTTGCTCTAAACGTCATGATAATGTAGACTCCGTAAAACAATCCATACGATTGGGAGTGAAGAATTCTATTGATAACTGGCCTCAACGTTTAAAGGACTGTATTGCAGACAATGGAGACCACTTCGAATAAGCTTTTATGTTTTAAATTGTTTTATATTTATGTATTAAACTTACATACTGTAAAAGTAATAAATGTTATTTGCAATAGAAAAAATATACTTTTTAATTGTTACAGTATTTATGGCTAGACTAGGTATACGAAATTGAAATTCTAAAAACTAAGCAATATAATTTTAAAGTTAAGTATTAAATTATAATAAAAAGTCTTTTATCTCTTTTCTAAGACAGAAAACACGGAATACAGCAGTCACAATTTCGTTACAGCTCAGAGCTACTCTTGTGTAAAATGTAGCTTGGAGTTTCTGTATTAGCGCGGCAAAACCAGCAACTCTGCCCTCGGCGAACATGTCAGTCGCACTACACCGCCAGGGCAAGTTCATCATGGCCCGGAATGCGTTATTATATTGTACAAGAAGAGTGTTATATGCACTCCTCGTGTAGCGGTACCAGAGTTGGCTGGTGTAGAAGGACTGACAGTACGCCTTGAACAGCATCACCTTCACTTGTTTCGACCAGAGATAAAAACGTCTGGCTAGCTTAATCACTTATATCCACTTATATCGACAAATTAATAAATGTTTTTTTTTTTCTTTTTTTTTTATAAACTTTGCCCCACATTAGGATTTTCTCCTGTGTCGTGGGTGCGGTTACAAACATACAATTTCACATACACATGACACCCAGACCCGGAACAACAATTTGTAGATCACACAAAGAGTAGTTCCGTGCCGGAATCGAACCCGCGACACGTTGCACGGCAGCTAGTTGCCCAGCCACCGCACCAACTGTGCAGTCCTTAATTATTGCATTAATGAATTAATCAATGAAAGCATGGTGATATTTTAATGAATTATTGTACTAAAAATTAAAAATTATTTATTTTTTCAAAACCACCAAGTTTCTATCATTGGGAGTTGAAATAGATAATTATTTTACTTACACACTCTCCAGGCTGGATTTGTATCTGTATAACCTCCGTCTTCTGGACCATCTTGACGTTTTTCCTCAACAGTAGTGGAGCGCTGGCAGACAGTATCGGTATCTCCACTTCCTCTATAGCGGCGTTCACAATCGCTGTAGGCTCGCTTGGGATAAAAAAACATCATCATATAATCAATAAACATTGATTACAGCGTTGTGTTTGGCCATGCGAGTGAGGTAACCGAAAGTCAAATCTTTCCCGTCCCCCATCCCTTCCCTACCAAAATCTCCGAAATTAACCCCAATCCCCAAAAAACCGGCAACGCACGTGCAGTGCCTCTGGTGTTGCGGGTGTCTATAGGCTAAGCCGATTGCTTACCATTAAGTAATCCAACCAAATCCAACAGAACGTTTGGCCGCGTACGACATAAAAAAAAATACAGTCCACTACTGAATTTTTGGCGGCGGCAAACGACTGGTTGATAAGCTGTTGGTGTCGCCTCAGACGTAAATTCAGAGGGGTTACTAGTACGTTTCCGATCATTTGGGGATTTGAAAATTTAGGATTGTGGTTGGAGGATGAGAAATGGCGGATAAGGGGAGTAGAAATAGAGTACCGCAAGCATAATTAAGCAATTTTACTTCAATTACTGGATTCACCAAAATTAACTTCTAACACTAAAACAACTAATTTATGTCAGATGTTTTTTTTTTTATATTCAATTGTAATTTTTTTTCAGGCGTTATTAATATTCAAAATTGAAGCCGAAATCAAAATGAATGGTTGACTCACCCAGCTGGTTTAGAAGTTAAATTTTTATTTCCTTGACTATTTCCTTCTGCCGTCTCATTGCGCACTGGCTCTTCTTTACCTCCGGACCCTTTACTATAATTTTTCTTCTCAAAAGTGATCTTTTCAGATAGCTTCTGCCGTTTTCCAGTCTCGTCATCGGAATGTGGCTCTTTTTTGCCTTCCCAACGTCCGGATACCTAATTATAATTAATTATTTGAGTTTTGTGCGCATTCTTGTCTACAATTAATGGCAGTTTGGGTTGTAGACTGCTTCAACAATGAAATACAACAAGAGGTTTAAGTTTGTAGGTCATTTCGGCCCGGATTGAGCAAAGTATTATTTGTTATATGACATAGAAAAGAACTAGAGACTATAGATATCTATAACGCCTGTTACATGTGAACCATTAAAAATATGCTAAAAAAACTAGGCGGATATAGTACATCGCAGTTTTGATATTATGTGCTACTCCACCTATGCCTTACTGCTATATAAATAAAATTATAGGCTTAATAGGTGGGTCAATAAGTTCCGTAATGAATGAATAAGTAATAAAGTCGTGAACTAAATTTGAATACAAAACTTTTGCCTAAGCAATCACTTTAGGTTAAATATATCTGCTTCAAAATGTAGTTGCAAGAATCCATTGGATTAAAACCTACATGGCCAGATACAACAGATTATTAAAATCAGTGACTGCGTAATTGGTGCAGAAAGTACACGAAGGTTGCTATAAGTTTTGGAACGTTCCTCATCGAGCGTTGCGAAAGGGAAAAATTAAGAAAAATACTTCTAACAACTCTCTCTCTCTCTCACTCTCTCACTCTCTCTCTCTCTCTCTCTCTCACTCTCTCTCTCTCTCACTCTACTTCTGTCTCTTTCTTTAAAAAGATCACGAATTGATTGAAAGGTTCCTTTCAGTTTTTTTGACATACGTACCTCTGTCTGACTATTGTCAGTGAAGACACTGTTACTGAGGTTGTCGGCCATGAGTGCCTCGTCCCCTGTAGACTCGGGCATCACATTGAACAGCTCAGTGATCAAGTCGTTCAGCTCCTTCTTAGATATCTTTATTATACTCTTTCCTAACGATTCCTCATCTTCGTCTTCTATAAATTAGAGTAAAATTATTAGGGTGGTGATTATTGCAAACCCATCTTTTACAGAGACCCTTAGGGCAATAGTGCCAACTGAAAACTAGTGTTGGGGTAATAAACTAGCTGGTACATAACATAAAAAGTTTGGAAAGATAAACTCAACTCTTTTTGTAATGTAGCATTAGAGATGTGGAAATACTCTGTTAATGCAAAAAATAATAATTGCAAAATAGTATAATAAATTCTTAGACTTAATTTGCTTGCTTCTAGTTATTTGGCACTTTACAAAGGCTAAACCCACCATTTGGTTTGTGTTGTATTTCGTCGTGTGAGTGAGATTTTTGGCAGCTTATTCTTTAATTCCTTTTTTTTTTTTTTTTTTTTTTTTTTATTGATTATAGGTTCGCGCTTGACCGCTATCTCACCTGATGGAAAGCGACGATGCGGTCGACGATGGAGCGCGCTTACCTAGAAGTAACCTATTCACTCTTGACTTAAAGATACCCAGATTGTAACTATCAGGAAACACCGACTCCGGCAAGGAATTCCACTCCTTGGCTGTACGCATGATGAATGTGCTCCCAAAACGTTTCCTAACATTGTCGCCGCAACAACGCCGACATTGTACTAGGAATTCCTTTGGTATTGCGGGTGTCTATGGGTGGCGGCGATTGCTTACCATCAGGTCATTCGTCTGCTCGTTCCATGACCTCTATCATAATATAAAAAATTAATCGAAAGCACATACATAGGCTCAACTGTACTGTTATCTAACTTTCTTAATTAGATTCAAAAACATTATCTTATTAATATTATAAATGCGAAAGTTACGATGTTTGGATGTTTGTTACTCAATAACGCCAAAATGGCTGGATGGATCTAGATGAAATTTGACACAGGCAAAAGATACACTCTGGATTAGGATACAGGTTACTTTTTATTAGCATAGCACGCGGGCGAAGCCGCAGGCGGTAAAGCTAGCGAAAAATAAAACTCACGCGCATCCGGATCAGCGGCGACATTATACTCGGGATCAGTCTCATCATCGTCTTCGTGCTTCGAGGTAGATGCTGGATTTAGGCACTCATTTAAGAACTGGTTCCAAAGGTCGTCCACTGCCGGCATTGGGATATCGTCGGGAGGGACGAAGTTTCTCTCTATATGCTCTATGGACGTGGAGGACAGACTGAGTTTGGAACGAGTGCGGAGTGCTATTGTTGCCTCTTCCTCTAAGTCCAATTTTCTTCGGACAGGAGTTGTTATTTCCTGGTAATTAAGATAAATTAGTATTTGATTATTGATCCTTTAATGCGGCTTGTAACTAATTCGCTCAGCAGGGCTTCAATTCAAAGTAATAATATTAAAACTGAAAACAAGTTCTATCTTCTAACCAATGACAGGAGGTAAAATTAGTTTCGTCTATCTCTATGAAAATCAGAAAATGAAAGAAATATATTTTTTGGTTTTTACTACATAATGGCTAACAAACGCCTGTCTGTTAACCATAATATTTAGAAATGATGTACCTATGTGCATATAAAACATATATATTATGTTTTAGAATGTTCTGTAGAACGTTTGGAAGTCGACTTTTTGGACGCAATATATGTTGGTACGTAGATCATAATGTATCTGAACTTTAAAAGAGACTGACTTCCGAGTTTGTTTTCGCCATTTTTTCCTAGAGTAGTCAGATTCCAACTTAATCTAGTATTTTTAACATAATGTTGACGTGTAAAATTGCTGTTTTTAAATAAATTTATCGGTTCATATAACATACCTGTGGTACTTTGAAGGGTCCATCTTTGACAACTTTGGGACTTGCAGCATGTTGGCTTCGCGGTGTCGCTGGAGTCCTTGGCTGGGAGTCCAGGTCACTGCATGACTCCAAACCTTGATCGTCATCACTCTGGAGATGGTAAAAATGTCTGCTTAATTAAATTATAGGCTTTTTCATGAGATGGCAAGTAAACAATGAAAAGCTATGTGACCTGCCAGAAAAATAGTTACATCACGATATACCTACAATAAATGTTGACAGAACTTGTTCATCATCAGTTTATTTTCCTGTCACAGAACATAACTACAACGAATATTATTTACCGGGAAACTCTAAGAGGCTGTTGATAGTTCAGTCTTTATTTAAAAAAAATAACCTAACGAAGTAACCCTGCTCAGACGACGCGAAGTCTCTAGCACTATTAGTGTTTTTAATAGTTAACAAAATTTAGTTTTAGCTAACAATAAAGTTTAAGAACCCTGAGACATGGGTAATCTATACATATTAATATCATCAGGAAAAAATATAGTTAATTACAATTAAAATTTGGAGTAACTTTGCCATACAAATTTGGTACTACAGGAACAGCAAAATAAAGTACATATATTTTGAAATAGTACGAAAATAATTTACAAACCGGCACATCGTCATGAGTGGGCTCATATTCCTCATCGTCTTCATCTTCTGGCAACTCCTGAGCAATAAGAGCCTTCACCTCCGGCCTGGTCTTCACAGGAATGTGCTTGATCGGAGTCAGCTCCAAATTCTCCAAGTTCCAAGCTGTTGTTGTCTTAGGGGACACTTTCATGAGTTCCCTGAAAGAAAAATTATATTTATGCTTATAAATGGGAAAGTTGCTAAGAATGGATGTTTGTTACACTTTCGTGGAAAAACTTCGAAACAGTACTGATTGAAATTTGGCACATCATCATAAGCCTGATTCCATTAACAGCTGGACAAAGGCCTCTCGAAGTGCACTCCACTGAGCTCGGTTTCCAGCTCTTCTCATCCAATTTCTGCCAGCTACAGAATAACACATAGTGTGGATTGCTTTCATTATAGTGTGGAATATAGCTTAGGCTAGTTTATGCTGATACTACGGGGGAAGCAGCTGACAGAAGCTAGTATGTACTTCATAACTGCCATAAATAAAGAATGTTCTTCACATAGTTTATATGTGAAAAACATTGCTTATTTATGGCAGTATAGCTAGCATAACATGAACTCGCCTGCCAAGAATGGTAAGGCAATCTCTTCTCACGAAAAGCAGACTCATCATAGTTCAGTAGTGGACTACCTCAAACAGTCTGTAAAAAAGCAGCTCAATTCAAAAAACCATAAACTTACTTGACTTTTGCTCTTGTCAGTTTCGGTCTCTCCTCAGGTCCAGAGTCTTCTTCTTCTCGCATCTTCACCAACGCCAGCACACGATCATTTGTCACCACTTTCTGGAATTATTAGATTACATGATCATTGCTAATTAAAGTTAAGCTGCAGAATCTATACTAATATTATAAAGCAAAATTAGTAAGTTTGTATGTAGGGGGTAATCTTTGGAAACAATGGTCGGATTTCCAAAATTCTTTCACTGATATATAGCTACAATGTTCCTGTGTGCTGTAGGCTATAAAACATCACGCTACTGTTAAATGGAGCCGAGCAGTGGGTGAAACCGCGCGAGACTAGCTAGTCTATCTATTATAAAAATAAATAGGTGCTATCTATTGTATTTAACTTTCAGTAGTAAATAGTAAAGATCATTGCTCATAAATAGTATAATAGTCCTGTTGTCAACTGAAGTCATAATGGCCTGTAGGTAAATCTGCTTCTCATGCATGAGGGTTTGAAACTTGGCAAGTACCTATGTAACTTTTTTCGAATTTTATGTCCTTTGTAATGTTTTTTACACAACACTGATATCAGGTGCTGGAAAACATGGCGAGGAAACTCAACTATAATGTCTAATTAAGTATAAGTTTGAAAGAAAGACAATCGTCTTTTGTTCAAACTTATACTTAATTACAGCCACCGTAAGCGCGGGTCTGTGGACGGCGACTGAGGCTAGCTCGCCGCCCGACCATAACCAGACACCAGGCTGAAAAGACCCGAGCGTATGGCTCATAACGTTCCGCGCGCGCCCCAAACACCCACTAGAACACCTATATAGGGCTGATGTTCAGCTGGGGTTGCGGGGTAAGTGCAATGAGGCATTGCAAACTCGGCAACCTATAATCTAAATTGTCAAATGGGTGGATTTGGAATGTGTAATGCACCAGTAACTCTGCCTCAGATGTACCTTTGAGTTTACATAGGCAGCACAATTAATTTAAACTCCAAATCCCATAAAAAAAATAGATACCTTAATAATTTTCCTAACACTTGTTTCATCTAGGTTATTTTTTAAGGCGACTGCATGAAGACTTCTGTCCACATCCGCAGCATTCTCTGGTAATTCAACATCATGCTCACTGCTGGGTTCACTGCTTGTTTCACTACACGGGCTGAAAAAGAAGAAATAGAGGCTAAAAATATATTGTGTAATCAACTGCCTGACTTCTGCACTTTATGTGTAATAACACAATTAAAAAGGTTTGGTATATTTAAATGCTTTCTGAAAAACAACCACAATAATATAAAAAAAAAATGAACAGAATGTGTTATTTCTGTTAGCTCAAACTACGTGGGGTAGGCTCGTATTATACAAAATAATATATGTGTAAGTAATTTAGAAATTGCACACTCATATAGTTTTAATACCACGCCGGTAATTAAATTCGATACAAAAAAAAAAAATTATGTTTACACGAAATTCAAAGGTAACCTTAGTCTCTGTTGTAGACCTTTTAACCTTCTCTAAAAATTTATAATAGTAGAATACTAGACATAACAAATTAATCACTGGCGAATTATTTGTAAATAATAAAGAACTTGTTACCGTTTTCGTTTTTTCCCGCGAAGTTTTCCTTTTGTTTTTACAGAATTATTGTCCTTGGTTGTACTTTCATTGGGTCCAGATTTTATACAATCTACACTTTTATTCATGGTTAATATTTCTTTAATTTAGTTTGCTAAGAAACCCTTACTCAACTACAGTAACAAACAAACACCAAACGATACGATATGCCGAGACGATAACAAACAACTTTAGCCTGCAACTGCCAATGTCATCTGTCAGTGCAGTAACTGTCATTCACTTCATTTTTTTTATTTTTTTTTTAATTATAGCACTTGGCTTTGGATACAAGTCTATTGGCCGAATTCACTTCAGAAAAAACTGTGTTGGTGACCTAAAAAAACAAAACTATTGCGTTTGTAAAAAAAAATTATATATATTTCAAATAATTTCTATTTAACAGTGTATTGCTTAATATAATACGATAGTTTCCAACTAGTCAAATTCAATACTTGTATCCAAATGTCAAAAACGACACTTTTCTATGTAATTTGTATGAAATACTGAGTTATGACGTCATAGTATTTTTGCGTCAAATAGCTTACTTATTTCTTAAAAACTAGCTAAAAAATATCTAAAACTTAGTGTATCGATCGATCGATGAATGAAGTATAGTTATTTTTCAATATTTTTTTGTATTGAGACGTCGAAGTAATTTATTATTGACCGAGGAAACTACCCAATTCCATAAAGAATATCTACTTGTACTCTCAAATTTTTTTTCTACAATTCTTATACTGTTACGTGCCTGACGTCACGTTCCTGACTATGCGGGCTTGGGTTACGGGATTGGATGAAATGAAACACTAATACCGGTTTTCAGACTTTCTATTGCACTTAAGTTACAGCGTCCACGGAGTTAAGTTATCGGCGTTCTTCTCCAGCAGAGTCCGGCCGACTGACACAACTTTGCCGTTCACGCTGAATTAACTCACTTAACTGACTGCACTTCACTATTTCACTGCACTTCACTATTTCACTCACTTTTCTTCTTTTCCACTTCTTCCTTTTCTTCCGAATCGCTTTAGACTTAGAACTCAACTGCCAGCGGTGAGCCGCAGTTCCGCTTATATACCCCCGGTCAGGTTCTGGAACATTCAATTTCGTTATTCTTTTTGATCGTCATGCCTCCAGAACCTTCCAATAATTTCGTTATTCATTTTTATTTATTCTCCTTCTCGCTCTTTAATTTTTCATTTCTTTCACACAAATAATTCCAGAAAGTTCGACAAAACTTCCATCAACTAAAAAACTTCATGTTTACGGCGGGACTCGAACTCGGGGTCTCTGTGGTGTAATCCACACGCCTTACCAATTACACCAACTCGTGTTGACAATTCACGACGAAATTTACAATCTCTAGGCAACGTTTGACAACCATCCATTGACGTCATGATGTCAAAGAGTTTGAACCACTTTTCCGTCACACTGCCCTCCTCTTAGATTTGCTCGTCCCGAGCATCGTTGCTGCCGTAATACCTCGCCAACCTGTCTATATGGACAACTTTCATAGGGCTCCTTAAAGTCTTCCGAATTCTGTAAGTAATGTCATTGATCTTCGTGACTATCTCATAAGGACCTTCCCAACTCGGTTGCAGCTTCGGAGATTTTCCCTTCCTTCTGACTGGATTATGAAGCCAGACCAATGACCCCTCTTCAAACCCAACAGAATTGGCTCGTCGATCATAGCGCGTCTTTGCGCGATCACTAGCTTGAAGACCGGCCTCCCTGATCTGCTCGTAAATGTCCAACATTTTTGCCCTTAACTCGCTTATGTAATCGCTAAACTCGGTGCGAGTATCGCCAGGTGGACAGCCCGATACAAGATCTGCCGGTAATCTCAATTCCCTTCCAAAATTTGCAAATGCAGGCGTCTTTGCGGTACTTTCATGTACAGCAGTCCGATAGGCAAGCAAGAAGAGAGGTATGTAAGTGTCCCAATCTCTCTGATGGCTGTCAACCACCTTTGCTAAGTGTCGCTCCAATGTTTGGTTGAAACGTTCGACCATTCCATCTGACTGTGGATGATAAGGGGTCGTTCGAGTCTTATGGATTCCCAAAAGTTTACAAGTTTCCTGAAAAACTTGGGATTCAAAGTTCCGTCCTTGATCACTGTGCATCTCCAAGGGCACTCCAAATCGGGTGAATACCTCGTTTACCAACTTCGTGGCTACAGTTACTGCCTCTTGATTCGGTATGGCAAAGACCTCCGGCCATTTTGTAAAATAATCCATAACCACTAAAACGTAGCGATTGCCCGAATCAGTGATTGGAAATGGTCCAGCGATGTCTAAGGCTATTCTCTCCCAAGGCATACCAACATTGTAGATTTTCATCGCCCCTCTGCTTCTTATTTGTGGACCCTTGACAGCTGCACAATTAGTGCATTTCCGGCACCAATCTTCGACGTCATATTTGCAATGCAACCAATAAAACCTCTCCTTGATCTTCACCAAAGTCCTCCTAATTCCCAAATGTCCTCCAGAAGATCCATCATGGAACGCTTTTAATACATCCCTTATTTTTGAACGAGGCACCACCAATTGCAAATGCTCGTCCTTGCCGTTTGTTGACTCCCATTTCCTGCACAGAAGTCCATTATGCAGCGTAAGGCTTTTCCACTGTGCCCATAAACCTTTCGTTACCGCGCTATATTGGGCGACGTCACTCCAACTTGGCTTGTTACCACTTCGTAGCCACTCCAGTATTGGTTTAATATCTGCATCTCTTTCCTGTTCTAATTTCATCGCATCATCTCCCCATGCCTCGTCAACAGTATCAGTCCTTATCACCTTAAGAAAAGCAGTTTCCTTCTTGACACAATGCTTGCAATCTTCCACGCATGGGCGTCTCGATAATGCATCTGCGTTGCCATGAATTCTTCCTCCGCGATGTTCGATTTCAAAGTCAAATTCCTGAAGTTGTTCCAACCATCTGGCTACTTGGCCTTCGGGATCCTTAAACTGAAGCAGCCATTTCAAAGCAGCGTGATCTGTTCTGATCAAAAATTTCCGTCCCAGTAAATACTTCTTGAAATGGTGCAGAGTTTTGACTACGGCCAGCAATTCCCTCCTGGTCACGCAATAATTCCTCTCCGGCTTGGATAGTGACTTGCTGAAGTAAGCAATAACCTTCTCCTGCTCACCTTCGCGTTGTGAAAGGACACCTCCTATTCCAATATCGCTGGCATCGGTATCTACTACGAATATTCCTTTCGCGCTGGGGTATCCGAGAATTGGTGTGTTACAAAGCCCTTCTTTTAGTTCTCGAAAGGCTTGCTCACAATCCTCGTCCCAGATAAAGGCACGTTTCTCCTCTGTCAATCGATGCAAAGGCTTGGCAATGTCCGAGAATCCTTCCACAAACCGCCGATAATACGAGCACAAACCAAGAAATGCTCGAACTTGCGTTTTGTCTTTAGGTGTTGGCCATTCCTTAACAGCGACAGTCTTGGCTGGATCAGTCTCAATTCCTCTCTCAGAAATAACATGTCCTAGATAATTCACTTCGCGCTTGAAGAAAGAGCATTTCTTTGGACTCAACTTTAAATTTGCTCCACGCAGCTTGTCGAGTACCTTTTCCAATTTCCTTAGATGATCGTCAAAATCCCGTCCAACAATGATGATGTCATCGAGGTAAACTAGGCAGGTTTCGCCCAGCAGTCCCGACAGCACCTGTTCCATCAAACGCTCAAAGGTTGCCGGTGCATTGCATAATCCAAATGGCATCACCTTAAATTGCCAGAGTCCCTTCCCAGTTGAGAATGCGGTCTTTTCCTTGTCCTTGGGATCCAAATCCACCTGCCAATAGCCGCTTTTCAGATCGAGCGTTGAAAACCATTTCATGCCACTCAGTGTGTCAAGTGTGTCATCGATTCTTGGTAACGGGTAGCTATCCTTCTCGGTTACATCATTCAATCGTCGATAGTCTACGCAAAACCTCGTTGAACCATCTTTCTTCTTGACAAGCACGACAGGTGAACACCAAGGGCTAGAAGAGGGCTCTATCACGTCATTTTTCCTCATATCGTCAATCATTTCTTCAACCTCTTTCTCACGAGCGAATGGTATGCGTCTGGGCCTTTGACGAATTGGCATTGTATCACCTGTGTTTATTTTATGCTTCACCAAACCAGTTCGGCCAATATCACCATCGCTTCTTGAAAACACATCAGAGAATCGAAGAAGTAAATTTCTAGCTTTCATAGTCTCCACTTTTGTCAGACTTTTGTTTTCGTCTAAGATTTTCGTTACAAAGTCAATTCCCGTACTGTCCTTCTTCACAGGATTCTCCGAGCATTTTCTTATCCAGGCCACTTCTTCCAATACGCCCACAGGCTCTCCTTCTTCAATCGTAATTTTTGAATCACTGAAGTTGAATACCGGAATGCGGTTGACATCAGATGACCCCACGACAGTTCTTGCCGGTAGCCATGAGCTTACGTGTGCCGATTTATCAATCACAGCGCACCTTCGACGTAAACTTCCTTCCTTTCTCCTAGGTAATGCGATTGGTACGAGAGTCTGTGATTTTGGTGCAAGAACAGTTCTTCTTAAACAGCAAACTTTTCCCAGGGTTCCACCCTTCATCGGAATTTCCTCAGTTCCACATAGTAAAACTCCAGATTTTAAGTCGATGTTACACTGGTGCCCTTGCAGGAAGTCAAGTCCCAGGATGCAGTCATCCAGAATTTTGGCCACAATAACCTCATGTCGATAAACACGTTCCCCAATTTTGATTGTTACATGCAGTTTTCCACTTATCGGTATGCACTGGCCGGTAGCTGATTTCATTTGTAGGCCAACAATTGGTTTAAGGTGTTTCCTGATGTTTTGCTCGAGCAGCCGAACATTTATCACCGTCCTTGAAGCTCCAGTATCTAATGTTAGCTGACTGTTTTTCCCATTTACTTGACCGTCTATCACCAGAGTATTTCCATCGTTGGTTTGCTTGATGTAGATTGTTGGGGTTGTTCCACTACCAGCCAGCGCCCACCCCGCAGCCCTGGCTGGATTTAAGTTTCCCTGCTGGTCAAAAGTTGAGACCGCCGCGTCCTGGCGGTTCATCTTCTTCGGGCAGTCGCTCCGTATGTGCCCACGCTCTCCACATCCATAGCACATGAAGTTCCGACGGCGTGGAGGTACCTGCTCCGTTGTCGTCATTTCCCGCAGACGTAAGGTACGGGAGTTGCCACGCACTGCTTCCACTTCCAATGCATGGGCCAGAGCTTCTTTCATGTTCTTGTGATGGCCCAGATGAACAGCAGCTCGTACTTCGGGGTCCCGAATACCGTCAATGAACGCTTGGAGAAGCGTGCCTTCAATCATTGACGGAGTCGACCGGAAAGCTCGACGCACAAGTTTCTCGATTTCCACGGACCATTGCTGTAGACTCTCATTAGCACGCTGAGTACGCTCTTTTAATTGCGCTCTGTACACGTGTTCGAGGTGGCTGTCTCCAAAACGTGCCTCAAGTGCGTCGAGGAGGGCACTAAAGCTGAGATCCCCGCTTGCGCCGATAGCTTCCAGCACTGAGAGCGCTTGATCACGGAGGGCCAGGGTGAGGGCTGACTGTGCTTCCTTCTGAGTCCAACCATAAGCCTCCATAAGTGTCTCAAACTGTAGCTTGAACGCGTTCCAGGATGTTGTTCCGTCGTAATGGGGAATCTTGAGCCCTTTCGTTACGCTTGAGGCCACATTTGGGGCGTCAAAAACGGCTGCAAGACGGCTTCGGCTCTTCAAAGGGCTTGGGCTTGTCACTTCCTGCTTGATTTTGGAGATCTCTTCTTTCACTCTCTCCTCTATCGCCATGACGCGATGTTCCAACTTGCCTAACCCTTCCTCCACTTCTTGTACCCGTTCGACAGCCTTTTGCAGTCCCTTCGTGAAATCCTTATGCATCTCTTCCAAGCGACGCGCTTGCTCCTCTTGGCGGCGAGCTTGATCCTCTTGGCGACGAGCTTGATCTTCTTTCAGCTCCCGTAGCTGTTCCGCCTGACAGCGTGCTTGCTCTTCTTGGCGGCGCGCTTGCTCTTCTTGGCGGCGCGCTTGCTCTTCTTGGCGGCGCGCTTGCTCTTCTTGGCGGAGCGCTTGCTCTTCTTGGCGGCGCGCTTGCTCTGCCATCATTTGCTGCAGCTGTAGCAGAAGATCCACCTGCACAGGCTTGGCTTCTGCATCGCTGGTTTGAGCTGCAGCACCCTCTTCCCTCACACGCTGCGCTTCTGACATTGGACGGGTACTCACTCCTCTTACGTCCTGCGGCACTAGCGGCATTTTTCTCCAATCCCACTTCTGACACCAAATGTTACGTGCCTGACGTCACGTTCCTGACTATGCGGGCTTGGGTTACGGGATTGGATGAAATGAAACACTAATACCGGTTTTCAGACTTTCTATTGCACTTAAGTTACAGCGTCCACGGAGTTAAGTTATCGGCGTTCTTCTCCAGCAGAGTCCGGCCGACTGACACAACTTTGCCGTTCACGCTGAATTAACTCACTTAACTGACTGCACTTCACTATTTCACTGCACTTCACTATTTCACTCACTTTTCTTCTTTTCCACTTCTTCCTTTTCTTCCGAATCGCTTTAGACTTTGAACTCAACTGCCAGCGGTGAGCCGCAGTTCCGCTTATATACCCCCGGTCAGGTTCTGGAACATTCAATTTCGTTATTCTTTTTGATCGTCATGCCTCCAGAACCTTCCAATAATTTCGTTATTCATTTTTATTTATTCTCCTTCTCGCTCTTTAATTTTTCATTTCTTTCACACAAATAATTCCAGAAAATTCGACAAAACTTCCATCAACTAAAAAACTTCATGTTTACGGCGGGACTCGAACTCGGGGTCTCTGTGGTGTAATCCACACGCCTTACCAATTACACCAACTCGTGTTGACAATTCACGACGAAATTTACAATCTCTAGGCAACGTTTGACAACCATCCATTGACGTCATGATGTCAAAGAGTTTGAACCACTTTTCCGTCACAATACTTATAACTTAAAAGCCACCGTTCAGTAGCTTACTATGAATGAGCCTATTTTTGTTTGACAGTGCAGCGTCTCGATGTTTTATACGTTGTTACCTTGTTACGATGTTAATTCTTGTTGAGGTAGGTAGCCGCTAGTCGCAGAACAATAAGAACCACGCACTGTTTTCATTATTATTCTTACAATAAAGGTTAATCAATACGTTACATAATGACAACGATACTTATAGAATAAACAGCAAATCATCAGTTTTTACCGACTTCAAAAAAGGAGGAGGTAGTATGTTCGGCTGATTGTTTTTTTTTTTCTGAAAAAAGCTCACTACGCAATAGGTTTTTTTATTCAAGGAAATTAATAAATAGTTAAAGATCACTTAATCTTTATATTTAGCGCTGTTATCGAGCGTCACAGGATTTATATGTAGGTAAATATTTTTTTAATTGCGTTCAATAATTTTACACTAGTAGCTGTAGACGAATGCGGCTTAAAATTAATATAAGTTAGTGTTTTGATATAATTTAAGTAAAAAAGGTGAATTCCTTGAAAACTTAATGTAACCTAGTTACAACGAAAACACACACACACACACACACACACACACACACACACACACACACACACACACACACACACACACACACACACACACACACACACACACACACACACACACACACACACGCACGCACGCACGCACGCACGCACGCACGCACGCACGCACACACACACACACACACGCACGCACACGCGCACACGCGGAAAATAGTGTTGTGTTATCAAGTTTTAGATTAACTATAAATTGACACCTTTATTTTTAATTGGGTGAAGAAATCGGTTCAAAACCAACAGAACGTAATATAAAGAGATTGCGTCTATTAATGATCTTATTACCAGCTCGGCAGCCAGACTTTAGGTAAAGGAAATAGCCACTTTAAGTATGCCCTCCGGATTATAATATGTATTACGACTACAATATCTCGCGCGGTTTCACCCGCTTCTCGTCTCCTACAGATCGTAGTGTTGACTAACAAACAAAAATAATTGTTCGGGCGATGAGTGTGTTCAAACAAACACACAAATGTGACTTTTCTGTATATTATTATACCAATTGCATCTAAATTAAATAATTTCATAGAAATTAATCTCAAGGCAAAAAAAATAGGAAAATAGGCATTGAATATATTTTTTATTGATATTGGTCTTGATAGGTACGATTGGCAAATAAGGATATTTTTAGTACGTGGTACGATCCTCTACCAATAAAGTTGGCAACTCTTTCTAGAGATGTCATTGTCCTTAGGTAGGTACCGTGCAGTAAATATTATGAAACCATTAAATATAGGAGGGGCGTTGTTTATTGACTTGTTAAAAAAAACGAAACTTATCTAAATGTTCTGTCGCGTGATGGAAAACAAGATCACGTGACAAATATTTTTGTAACCTAAGGGTCTTTTCACATTGGAACTCTTATCAGACACATCAATATGGTTATTGAATATGTACCATCGTCTTCATATTTGAATAGAGATGTTTAAATGAGTCTTCAAATGACTATACTTGAAGACTCATCTTCTTTTCTCAATTATATTGCTGAAAGCGGACGGAAACTGCCTTGATAAGTAGTTAGTATTTTCAGGCTATTTACTGAGGATCTAGGGGTTACGAACGTAATATTAGAGTAGAAATGACAAGGAAATTAATCTGGTCTTTATAGCTTCACTTCTTTCAACTGAATAAGTATCTATTAAATTATATTCTTATTAGGCTTGGCTAGGTAGTCATAAGATAACATTCTATTAGTAAGTTGTTTATTAAGTAAGCATCTCTCTGGATATTTATTGCTCTGACTTGCTTGTCCAGAATTTTCTATCGAATCTTTTATGCATTGAATATCTCTCCTCCAATGAGGAATAGCCTTTATTTGATAGGTATCTACACCTATTAAGTATATAAGTTGACGCAACAACGCGTATTTGTGCTTGATTAATTCAATTCACGCTCAGGCGCTCTTAATGGGCAGTCCACAGTATTATTAACTTTAGCCAAAATAAAAACAAGCTTCAAATAGTGGCCAGTCTTGTTTCGAATAATTGTTTGGTAAGTTTTTACATACTCTAGCCTATCATATTAATAAAAAATTGGTTTTATTATCATCGTTGATAATTGCGTAGCTAGGCGTAGGACAGTAAACGAAGTGTAGGTATGATACGTAAATAAATATTTTATCTTGTCCACAGTAAACAACAACATTCAAAATGAAGGATCAGCCAAATATAGCCGTGATTGGTGCAGGAGTGATCGGCATGACAGTAGCCAAACTGTTTCAAGACCAACTAAGAAACGCAAATATCACGGTCATAGCTGAAAAGTACTCAGCAGACACTACCAGTGACGTTGCTGCTGGTATCTTCAAACCAGGGACACATTTTAAGGGATCCACTAAAGAAATTACCAAGAAGTGGATGACCGATTCATGGCACTTCTGGCAGGACATTCTCAAGTCTCCCGACGCTGAACAAATGGGTGTTATGCCCTTAGGGAGTTACATATTTTCAAAGGAAAACTACCATGTCACTAGAAATCATCTCATTGAAGGTTTGGTGCCAATCTATCGTCCTGCTACGAAAGAAGAACTTAAGATGGCCCCTGAAGGAACCAAATTCGGATCCTACTTTTCAACATTAAAAGTTGAATGCGAGCGTTATTTGCCGTGGACAGGAAAAACATTAGTCGAGAGAGGCGCAAAAATGATACGCGGTAAAGTGGAAAGCTTCGCATCACTCTCAAATTACGACCTTGTTTTTAATTGTGCTGGTTTAGGTGCGAAGTACTTATGTAACGATTATGACCTGGTGCCTATAAGAGGTCAAATAATAAAGGTCAACGCGCCTTGGGTTAAACACGCACTTTATGGAGATTATGATACGTATATTATCCCGGGTTTGAATGGGATGGTAACATTGGGAGGGGTAAGAGGTTTCGACAGTTATAATTTGAATTATAGCAAGTACGACGCAGCGGATATTTTGGAACGTTGTTGTGAGTTTCTCCCCGATTTGAAAAATGCGGAAGTTATTGCGCATAAAGTTGGTTTGAGGCCTCATAGAATGCCGGTTCGCGTGGAGCCTGAGCTGATTGATGGTTTGAAAGTTGTGCATTGTTACGGCCACGGTGGGAATGGAGTGATGACTGCCCCGGGCACCGCTATCGATGCAGTGGAAATAGGTCTCAATTTCTTGCGAAGTAACGTTAGGAATAAACTTTAAAGCTTTATATATACTCATAACATAATAAGTATTTAATTACATACATTATAATATGGTTAAATAGTTCTTAGTACCTAGGTACCGAGTATTCGAGAGAGAGCGAGCTCACTGACAAATGCAAGTTGTAAATATGTAAACTTATCGTTATCAGAAGTAGGTACTTGACGTTACTTACAACTAAATGATGTTATTTTTATAATAAAATAATAAATATTATTATCATTGAATAATAAACAGCAGATACCTACGGTCAACTGGCATATCGTTGTTTTATTTATTTTTATATTATGGATACGTTTAGTTTATTCATGTACTCTAGTACCTTGCCGTAGTACTCTATAAGAAGTCAAGCACTATATGCTTGTGGAGGCCCGATTTCAATACCTTGACGAAATGACGACAGACGTTAAGTTTCAAGCAAGATAGAAAACCGAAATTTTTCTATCGAATGTATGTGAGAATACCTATCGAATTTATATTTCTTTGTGTGCGAGGGAACTGCACAACTTGATTCCTCCTAATCCTTTCCACTATAAGACTGTTTGTCTTATAATAATAAGTATTTGGATAGATATACCTACCTAAACTGGGGGCACGGAAGTGCCCCAGCCAAGTCTCGAGCAAAACGGGCAAGGCCGAACCATCGTTTTTTCGAAGCGTTTCGAGGGATCTCAAAACCTTTAACGATGGAATAATTGCGTAAAGGCTTGGCTATTTTTACGTTCAATGTTTTTGGTTTACCTATATAACTTGGGTGTCTTCAAGACGCTTGTGTGAATAAGTTGCTTAATATTATCAAAACGAACGTCAACTCTGGGCAACTAAGTATATTATATCTTGAAATTAATTATTATTAAAGGTAAAACACAGAAGGGAGGCGAATAAATACTTGGAATATTCGCTATTTACCCCGTTTTACGGTATGACATTCATAGGTACCTACTGTCTCAAACTACATGATACACTATCTCGCATGGTACCATCAAAACAATCAAATGATAAAAGGCTTTTTACTAAACATTTCCATCTTTTCTCTCTCCACAGAGGTTCTAAAAACATTTGAGAGTATTTGAAATTTTAATTCTTACACTTCTTACTTAGGTACTATTACTATTATAGCAATTTCGATCATTATATTGCTTTTAGCATTTTTATAAAAAGCAATAGTGAACGTAAATGAAAAAATATTGGAGCTTCTTAACTCCTATATCATTGCTTTTTGGTCGACTTTTAGGCGGATTACCGGGTCAACAATCGGCGCCACCCATAGACACCCGCAACACCAAAGAAGTTACGAGTATGTTGCCAGCCTTTACTTTATTATTAGTTAATATTTTAATGAGGCACATGTACAACTAAAAACATTCAGTTTCACCACTGCTGCACAAAGAGAAATTAAACATTTTGACTATACTGATCAGAGAGGAGAATTTTCCTGAAGTACCAGTGCAAACTGTTTAAAAATTGTGTGCTAGCTGCATGTGGTGGGTAAGGGGATTATTTGTTAAAGGTAGTAATAGTTGCCTAGTCGGAATGTTTTTTCTGAAGTCAGAGGCATTTTTTTAGGAATTGTAATGATATAATTTTTTTGCAGTTAATAAAATATTAATAAATATTTTGATTTAGATTTTATTCAATCTGTGATTCTTTATTGCACTAATTTATTATACTTATTGATATCAATTATTCAAAATAAATCCAGCCTAACATAACCAAAGTACCTACATTAAAATTAGCTTAACAAGACAATTTTTTAGCTTTCTCATTGAATTCTAATAACAACTCTTTCATATCGTCATAACCAGATATATCCTGTGCTTCCTTTAATGGCAGCCATTTTAAATCTTGATGTTCATCTGACAACTGAACTTTTGTATCTGGATTCTTCAACTTTGCCAGCCAGTATACAACCACTTTAGGTTTATTGTTAACATTGTAATTTAATACTTTTGACACATCTTTGTAAACCTGTAAAATAAAGAAATATTTTTGTAAAGTAACATTGTAAGACATCCTTGATTTATTGAAAATAACTACTTAAATTAACTCAGAACAGCTACAGTTTTAAGTCACAACTGAACTCTTATTAATGATGTGAGCAGCATGCGGGCATTTATCAGACAATTTACACAAGTCAGTCACTATTTTCAGTATCATATATCCTTGTAATTGAAATGTTTTTTTGTAAAAATAAAGTGTATATTACAGTTTGGCGTTTGAAATTTCCAGCAAAATATTTGACTAATGTTAATTACTAACAAAGTAATGAAAAATAGATGTGATACTTTGAAACCTCTTTGATTATTAGTATAATTTCACTAATTTAAAATGGAGGACAAACACTTGTCAATGTAACCGTTCTCTTTTCAGATCTTGGTCAATGGGTCATCTTCTTAAACAACTGTGATAAAGCTACTTACTTCTAAATCCTCTTCAGACAAACCAGCTTCTTCTTTAGTCTCTCTTAAAGCTGTTACCCAGTCTGATTCTCCAGGATCAACATGACCTGCAACATTAATTAGGGTTAGATGCTTAAATTCATGTTTGTAAACACAAAAAAAAACTGGATTTACGAAATGTAAACAAACATTTCACGGTAGGTACTAGTTGAAATAATAAAAATGGCTGCGAGCGACTTCGTATTTTAAAAGTTTTTTAGATAAGCCGGGCTTGGCAAGGCATACCTAATAGGCTAGTCCTCGCCAGCAATGTAATAAAAAACACAAGTGAGGACGAGTTGGTTCGACTCTGAGCTTAAATTGTACCTTGCCTTTAAGAGTAATAAATATTACTACTAACCCTTAGGTGGAGTCCAGTGGTGTTCTCCATAAGAAGTTTGTAACATCAGAAATTCTATCGCTTGATTTACACACCTAAATATAACCAATCCCGCTGCACGTTTAGCAGACATTTTTAAGGAATGCTAATAAATATGAATTACTGATTATCTATAATGTATCAAAAGCTACGATTTTACATAGATTATTTAATTGGATAAATACCTAAATTAAATAAAAAATAAGTTTAGCTTTTGAGGTTTCAAGACTTGTCATTTGTTGTCATCGTTGTTCATGTCAACATTCAGTATTGTCAATTTTTTCAACGGATTTCGATTCGTTCAGAAAAGATTCCAGTTGTACCTACTGTTTTCAATGAGTTCAAAGTTATTTTATAGATTTATATGTTATTTAAAATAATAATATAGTATTAATGGTTTTCGACATTTATGAAACATTTTCTCAATCATAAAAAACTGTCTCAATAATATCATCAAGAAAAAATATGAACTCCATGTTGACAATTTGACAAGAATGACATTTCGAAACTAACGGTGGAAATAAAATTACGAATTCAAACAGTTCAAACTGCAACGGTGATTATCAACATTTCATTGAAACGACTGTTATGAAATTGTTTGTTTATTAATGTAATATTCTCGTAATATTCACACGTGATTCAAAAATAAGCTTCAAAATAATAATACATTTGTAAAAATAAAATATATTGTGTACCGTCATACCATGTTACAAAAATGGAAGCTTATTATTAACAATTGGGTAAGTAGCAGATGTTTCTCAAATGTCGTTGGAAATAATAATTGTTGTTTTATTTTACTTTTCAGATAAAAGATGTTATTGTTTATGTTTTATTTCGTAGATAAACTGTTACTTCAGTGAAAACAATCAAGATGACCGGACCGTTAACATAGAATCGTTATTGAATATTATATCTCATTTACATGAGAATCTCAACTTAGACGAATCGAAGTCATCTATATTGGAAGCGCATACAGTTGAGGGGTTTTTGTTGGAGAAGTATCCAGAATTTAAATTTGAAAATGGAACAGTTGAATCAGCTAATGAGGATGATGCATATCTGGTGGCATCATTGCTTCTTTTCTTTGTGTGTGTGAATTCTAAGGATGTTGACATAAAGAGTGCAATGTGTAGCAAGCTGAGTGGTGATGATCAAGAGATTATACTGAAGTTCACCAAGAGCCTACTGGAGTGTAGTCCTATCACACTCAGGGATTTACAGGCAGCTATTACAGGTAACAGAACATTATTTCTTTCATAATTCTAGCACAGGCTGGACCTAATAACCAGTATTATTATTACAAAGCTAAACAACCCTTTGTGTTTGCCATTATTATGTTAATTTGTAACAGCTGTCTGGCTGGAAGCCACAGCTGTTGCCAAGGGCCCACCCCATACATGTAAGTATACTTTAGAATGAAGAAATTTCACTTTCAGACTTTTATTCAATTGACTTAGTTAATTTATTTGTTTTCTAACTGCATATTGAAATAATTGTTTGGTTCATACTAAGTTTTACAATTTTTTTTTATCGATTTTGTTAAATCAAGTTTGTATTACCAGCAACCAAATTTTGTTTACAAACTAACAAAATATTTTTTTTATTGCAGATGCATGTGGACCAGACATGGCATCTGGGCATATGAAAGTAGCAGAAACACCACCGGCTTTGCGCTCATTGCACGGAGAGGTACGGAGACTGCAGGCAGCACTGGACGCAGAGAGATTTGACCGGAACTATCTGCAAGAAGAACTAGCTAGGACTAACCTGAGGGTGGAAAAACTGAGTAAGTCTTTAATATGTCTTATTTATGTAAGTTTTACCCAAATTCAAATAATTGACCTGCTAGGAATATGGAAACAGATGTGATGATGTGTGTGTTTTTAGTTTACTTAACAAATTGCTATCATAACTTTAGTACCTACTTACCTATCAATTACATTTACATATTTATTTATAATTTCATGCACTTCAAAAAAGGTAGTCTATGAGTTATTCCATACTATTTATTATCTATCTCTGTAAATTTTCATCAAAATCTATTCAGTAGTTTTTGTGTGAAAGTGTAATAAATGTTTAAATATCCATTCAAACTTACAAACTTGCACATGTATAATATGAAAAGGATCTTTACACTGAAGATCACTCACTTGAAGCTATTTATCTATTTTATTAAATACATTACTTTTTTATGTATGCAAATAAATATAACAATATCCTTTAAGTCATAACATCACTTCATTAGCCTTTAAGTGCCCACTGCTAAACAAAGGCCTCTTCTCGCACGGAGAATGTTTGAGCTTTAATCACCACGTTAGCTCAAGGCCAATTTCCAATTGCAGACTTATAATTAGAAATTAAAGACGGCTGGTAATTTTGAACTCCTGTGGTGTTGCGGGTGTACTTGCGCGGCGTGATTCCCGCCTATCAAATAGAATAATAATAATTCCAATTTTCGTACAAATATTTTTCTCTCACCATTCGTCAGCTGTGTCTAAATAATCGTAAAAAGTACATATAAGTCGGAGAAAGACATTGTGGTACCTACCTACTGGTAATGTGTGTTTACCTACTTACTTTATTTAGTATTGTGTTGAAACAATGCTTCATATAGATCTAGTTTCAAGTTTGTTTAGACTTACTCTAGCCTGTAGTCCAAACAAATAGGTACAATGAAACAACCGAGGCTTTGAAAAACAAATGAAAAGATCAGGATATTATTATCTACATTGGATCTATTTTCGATTGAATTCAATTGTGCTATCTCCCGGCGTATTATAGGGGGTGGGAGTGAAATCATCAAATAATATTTCCCACTGGATGGGCCGAGAAAGGAGTGTCTGACTCTTGTTGACAAAAAAAAAACCACCCTGTTCCTTCTCCTTCTCGGAGTCGGCGCCGCGGTACCTTATTGCGCTTGGACCCGGCAACCCCGGCTGGTCCCTCTTTATAGGCCTTATTCTTGTCAGGCAATTGTGTCTTCTCCATTTTTCAATAATACAGATTATTAATTGGCCTGGATGCGCGTGCAAACCTGGCAAGAACCAATGTGACTTATTCCTATGTACAGTAGTACACACTAGTATTTTCGCATTTTTGTCGCACCCACGACACAGGAGAAAATACTAGTTACAAATATAGATACAATTTCACATGCCCAGCCACCGCGTCAACCGTGCAGTTATGCTTAATTAGTGCTTCTTTGAATAAAATAATCTGAGAAAAAGACTTACTCAGCTTTAGGCACTTATGCACAGAAAATATCAGAATTTAATTAAGTATCATTGCACGCAGCTCTGCGTACCTAATTAAATTCTGATAATTTTTAAAGAACTTATTAATGATTTATAAGTAACAATATGTACTCATTTCTTTAAGTTGAATGATAGGCTCAAAATAATATGCAAACGCAAAGGAATTGGTATTTTATTTTAGTACACAGATCACATAACACTTTAAGGTCAATAAGTAGTTGTATTTGTTAATAATAATATTTATATTCGAGTGTAGTTTAGTTTGTCCTTGATACATAAATCAATGACTTCATTGTTTATGTTGTAAGTGAATTTGGTAGCATACTATCGACGTTACAAAACATGGTTTCTCACTTCTTGTTAGTCGAAATAAAGCAGTGCTGCATATAATAATAATCTGTACATAATACCATGATAGCGGGCCTCCCATGAAAACCGAATACATCAAACTGGCTAGCTTTAGCCAGAAATAACGAACTTACTCATCAATGGTGTGCTAATAGAGAGGTCTTTGTCCATCAGTCAAAGAAATCAGAGAGATTATTGCCAGCTTGCGTTACTGTATGGAGATCGACACGTTTACGACGTGCGCCGTCCAAGTTAACCAATCGGAGGTCTAAACGGAGTAACGTTTGATCGCGTTAATGTTAAGCAAAGCTAGATCCTCAGCTGAGAATATTTATTGTAATTGTATGGATTAACGCTTATTTATATCTTGTAGTACCTACCTAGTAACATAATTAAAAATTTCCGCAGTGAATGACAAGGAACAATACAAGTTGGACATAGTGAACTTAAAGGCGAAGATATCTTTGTGCTGTCGTGAAGATCAGGATCAACGCGGTACGGAGGCCGAAGCGGAGGCCTCCGAGAAATTGCAGCGGCAGCTACAGGATATGGAGGAGCGCCTGGTCCGCACCCAGGAGTCACTTGATGATGTAACTTATGAACGGGATACTTATAAAGCTAAGGTAAGAACTTAATAGTATTTAGAAAGTAAGGGTACAAGAGGCTGATTTTCTTTCAAAATCTGGATACTTTAACACGAGTGTTGAGTCGAAAATGATAAAAGTATTGTCAGTTTATTACATGTTTGCGCTTCGTTAAAATGTTGAGTATCTCAGACAAGAAAAATTCCAGCCGGAAGTCGGAAGACCTGACTAATATGACGAAACTATAACAAAATGAATTTTTACTTGATAAATAAGGCAAGAAAATTATAGAGACAACTAAACAGATTTTTGTTGTGGGAGAGCTATACCTACTTCGGTTTGAATGGACAAGTCGACCTGATTCACTGTCTCACGGAACATACGGCGTGAAACACCGCCTGCGTAGTGTATGTGTCCTTTCCTTCCTTTCCCCAATCCCATAATTCTTAACACGTTAACCACCACGTAGGTCACCGGCGACCTACAGTAGCGGAGGATTTGCCTTCAATAGTTTTATTTTAGTTAACAGTCAAATTATTTTATCATAATTGGTATAGTTTTTTTTTTCCTTTTTTTGGTATTTTTGATTTCTGTGTGTGTGCGCTTGCGCAGAAATAAATGTTTCTTTCTTTCTTTCTTTTCTGTAGGCAGTCAAAAGCTTCCCTGAACACCTACGAAAGGACTGCAACGCCTTTATAACTTCTCTGGTGTTCATGGGTGGTGATTCTTGCTTCTGTGTTACGGGTGTCCATGGGTGGTGCCGATTGCTTATCATAAGGTGTTCCGTCTGATCTTTTGACGACTTATACATAGTGCCATGAAAATATCTTCTTTCAAATCAAGGTGGACGAGTTGAAACAAGACCGCGACAAATGGCTGTCTCTCAGCCAGCAAGAGAGTGAGCGTGCCATTCAATTTGGCGAGGAGTTGGAAGTGGAACGAAAGCACATGCAGGCCCTCAAAGAGCTCGTCAACGAGCTGCGTCAGCATAACCGTCGCAATGGCCTCGACACCAGCCTACTCGAGTGCGATGACCCTGACACCAGCATACAGTCCTTACAACAAAATCTCTGTAAGTACCTTATATTATTCACATAATGTTGACTCAAATTCCTTAATCTTCAAGTCGCCAATCCTCAATCTTCAAATGGCCAGTAAACCACATTCAACCCCACTGGTCAACTGCAGAAAGAGGGATGGGGTGGTTTTAAGACAGTGAGAGACTTGCAATCCTCCTTGCCCCATCCAGGGTGTTTAATGATGACATTTAATGATTTGCCCCTTGAAAAAAATCTCTCTGGTGTACCACGATTCTATGGGTGGCATCTTTTGCTTAACATCAGACGACCAGTCTGGGCATTTGTCTCATTTTCATAAATGTGATAAATACCGTTGGCCGATCCACTATTGATTATTTCTATATTATTATTTAAATATTTATAATAAATATTATTAGTTTGATGACTGCCGAGCAAGGAGTCGCCTGTTTGGTCGTAGTTTCTGGTTATTTTGTTCGATTTGTTAATAACAGCACGGATGTATTTTTGTAGCTGTATGCAGTGAGGCGTGCGCTAACGTCGTGGAAGTGCAGTTAGGTGAAGAAAGAGCTAAAGTTGATGCTCTTAAACAACAGCTACAAAGGTTGCAAGTAAGTAGTTCGTCATTCTGTTAATACCAGAAAGTAGCCATGTTATTATTTATGTACACAGACACAATACTGGAAAAAAGTTAGTTTGATGTGCCTTCTGCTACAGCCTTTACGTATAATTTAATTCAGATAAAGCAATCACTTAAAGTAATGTTACATTGTAGGAAGACATGCATGAGCTCAACCAAAAAACCGATCGTGAAAAAGAAAATTTCGAAAAACTACTATCAGAACGTGACAACGAAATTCTATATCTGAAAAGCCGTTTCAATGAAACCGTTGAGAAGAAAGATAAGGAGATTACTGAATATTACAATGAAGTAGTTAAACTTAACAATGATAATAATGAACTAGAACGAAGGATTAAACATAATAATGAACACTCTAGGCAAATTATTGAGCAGAAGATGCAAGAAATTCAAACACTACAGGAACAGAAGTTGTCTCTCCTGCAGAGTCTATCCGATGAGACTACCAAGTTGGAGAATGTAATTGCAGAACTAAGATCGGAACTAGAAGCGGAGAAACAGGCGCGAGCCAAAATGAGAGATACTTATGACAATCAAATGATGAAGTTAAACGAGAAAATATTGAATAGAAACAATGAACTGGTTGAGCTACAGAACAATGTTTTCGAAAAGAGTGAGATGATGGAAACCCTACAAATGAACGTGCGCCATCTAAGTGAGCAGAAACGTGAAGTTGAAAATAAATTACACAATAAAACCGAAGAAATGAATGCAATGCAACACAGCCTAGAACAAAATATTGCATCAATATTAAAGGAAAATGAGCATTTCAAACTTCTTGTAGCTAGCTTCCAAGAACAGTGTGAAGTTTTGGAAGAGAGTAAATCGCAGTTGGAGGGTGAAATAAAAAGATTTGGAGAGCTTCTCAAAGACACTGAAAATCTTAAGAATGCATTCAGCGAAGCGACTGAAAAACTTAACTGTGAATTGGATGAAAAGAACGCGATCATAAATACATTACAAACACATTTACAAGACGAAATACGCCACAAGATTGGATATCAAGAAGAGTTACAGAGGTTGCAAACAGCCAAAATGTACATGGCTGAAGACTTGAATAAATTGAATGTGGAGTATTCGAAATTAAAAATAGAGTTGACAGGCAAGGATAGGACTGTCGAGTCGTTGGAGATGAGTTTGAAAGAAGCCAGAGACGCAGCAGACAAGTTGAAGACTGACAACGAGAAATTTGACCGTGATCTGACGGAAATGTCAAATGAGATCGCACACAAGAATAAAACTATTGAAATACTCAACAATACGCTTGAAACAACTAAAAAGAGTCTGGAAGATGAGCTTATGGAAAAGAATGAAATAATTGACGATAACAATCACAAGATAACTAACTTGACGTCAAATAAACAAGCCTTGCAGAACAAAATAGATTCAATTAACGTGGAGAAGACTAAACTTGAGAACGAGCTGGTGGCGAAATCCAAACAGATATCACAATTGCAGGCAGAATGTGAGAAATTGACTAAAACCGTTGACGAGAATAAGAAAGGTATGTAATTATTATGTTTTTAAATTAACAGTTATCGTACATTGAGTTTAGTTTGAATTAACTTTAATTTCACCACTTTATTTCCACCACTTTATTTCAGCTATCCGCAGTTTGGACCAAAACACAACAAAAGAAAAACAAAAATATGCTGCACTTGAAAAAACCTACGATACAGAAACTTCTAAACTGATGGCCAAACTGAATGAAACTGAAAAGACTATTAAAGAATTAACATCGACTTCTAAAAAGACTATTAAGAACAAAGAACACCAAATTCAAATGCTTACGAGTGAACTAGAAAACACGAAAAAAGCTATGGAAGCTAAAACAGAAAGTATACACATGGTAGATAAAGAAAAAGAGGCATTAGTTCAAAAGTTGGAAGAAGAAATTACTTACAAGAACAAAATTGAAAAGGAATATCAAAATCAATGCACACAGATAGAGAGTGTGACAACCCAATTAAATGAAGAATTAACTAGCAAGAATAATGAAATACTTGCATTAAAATCTGAACTGGACAAGGCCACGAAGACCATAGAAGAGAAATGCAAAGGTAAGTGTCGAAATTTGATAAATTTCTAATAATTATCGACAATATTTCAAAGGTACTATGAATAAAAATATATTGTCTGTTTTAGAAATCCAAGTTTTAGGAGAGCGATTGTCTAAAGAAGATCAACTGATTAGAGATTTGGCTCACCAGAAGACTGTTGAGACCAAAGATTTCCAGAAGAAGCTTAGTAATTTGCAAAGTGTAAATAATGAATTAAAGCAAGAAGTGAAAAAAGCAAACGAATGTAAGGAGCAAGTAATTGCAGCATTGCAGAAGGAAAATGAACAACTACAGTTTGCCATTGAAGAAGACAACAGTAGCCATGAAGTTATTTTGAAGGAAAAAGATTGTATCATAGACAGATTAGAGAAACAACTTAAAGTGCATACTGATCAACTAGAGTCACTCAGGAAAGACTACGAAAACATCACACTAGCGTGGGAGACATACAAGGTAGAAACCAAGGAAAACATGCAAGCTAAAGAAGAACAAATCAGAACTTTAACTCAGGAAGCAAGCCAGTTAAAAGAAAATATTTCTAAAATGAAAATAGAAAAGGATGAGTTGGTCAAAAAACTAGAAGATCACGTTGAAGAAATGAAAGTGACCAAAATAAAACACGATGAACGTCTAAAAGAACTAAGCAACGACGAAATGAAGCTTTCTGCTATTTTAGAAGACAAACAGGTTTTACAGGACCAGTTGATAGAAGAAAAAGCTGCTAAAGACAGACTTGAAACAGAAAATAAACAGAAGAACGAAGAAATTAAAGTTCTAATTGCAGATAAAAATCAACTCATAAATGAAAAAGAAGTCCTGACGCAACAGCTTGTCGAAGAGAGGGCGGTTAAGTTAGTTTACGAGGAGGAAAGAAACTCTCTCGTTTCAGAAAAGACATCTCTCGAGAGGAAGTTACTAAGCCAAGTAGCTACAACAGAAAATCTAATGGAGAGCAAGGAATGTCTTACCCAACAGCTTGTTGAAGAGAAATCGGCTAAAGAAATAGCGGAGAAAGAAAAAGAGAATATTTTATTAGAGAAACGACTTATAGAACAGAAGATAATGGAAGTGGAGAATGACAAAGAAGAAATTAGAAGAGAAATTAATGATTTGATAGAAAAGCATCGTTTGCTGGACCAGCAATGTATGAAAGAGATGGAAGCTAATGAGGCTCTCAGTGGAGAGAAATTGAAATTGCTACTAAATTTAACAGAGGAACAGGCATCGAAAGATGTTCTAATTAAAGAAAATGAGTTCCTAGTCAGTCAAGTACAATGTCTGAGATGTGACTTGCTTGAACAAAAAACAATTCAAGATGTCCTCATTGGTGAAAAAGAGGTGTTACTTGCCGAAAAAGAAGGACTTGTTAAGTCTTTAGGCGTCGAAAAGTCGGCGCATGATGAAATTGAAACGGAAAAAGATCAATTAATCACTAAATTGTGCGAGTTGAACGAAAGTTATATATCTAAAGCTAGCAGTGCGCAAATCGAGCTTGAGAACCTCACTCAAAGAGTCAACACTTTGGAAATGGATCTTAAACGTAAGTTGTTTTTCTACCATTAAATTAAACTTGCGCCAACGGGTAAATACATTACTGGTAAAATTGTATTAAGATATTTAATTTTGTGTAATAGCTTGCTTTAAGTTATAATCACGCAAATATCCTCCTGTTGTCCTCCGTATATTAATAGTACAATCAGTATGACCATTTTTACAGCTCAATTGAGTGAACAAATAATAGTAAAAGTTTAGAAGTTAAAATTAATAACGTAATTATTTTAATTTCAGAACAAGAGGAAATGAATAATCAAATAACAAAAACTTTGACTGCTGGACTTGACAAAGTTATTGAAGGGCTTAAAACAGAGGGGATAGCTAATGAATTCGTAGGGAAAATGACCCAATCTGACGATAAAATCAATCAGGCCACTGACGAGTGTGATATGCTTATAAACATTGCTAATAAGTTAACTACAGAATTTGTAATGAGGCAGAATCTAGTGAAAGCTCTCGAACATGGCAATAGCTCACTGGCGGAGTTGAGAGAAGTGCTCAAACTGAAGGAAAATCAGCTTCTTGAAATGCAGACAGAGATCAAGCGGCTGCAACAGATCGTCAATGAGAATAAGATTGGTGAGTAATTTTTCTTTTTTTAGTGTTTCGTTTTTTATCTTATTTTTCTGTAGTTTCTACTAATCTTTACTGAGTAGTTAGCCATTTTTCTCTTTTTAGCCCTGTCTGTATTATTATATGGTAATCATTTATGAACTTTGCAGCGCTCAGACATACAGGGGACTGTCGTGAGAGCGGCAATGTTCTCAAACACTTGTACGTCCTCGTTTAAACTAACCGTCTTACGTGACATCCGACCTTTGGACATTAAATCTTCTATCTAATATTTCTCTGCACCTTTCTTCTATGTCCTTTCCTCTATAATATCAACTGTCTCCTAGTATTTTGCTAAACATTGCACCTTCTTCGTATTTATATTATATTTACTTATAGAACTATCAAAGCGTACCGAGACGTTTAACACGACGGTTGAGAACAAGACGAGAGAAATACAAGCACTAATGAATGAGAACCAAGCGCTCACAAATGACTTGAATGATGTCAAGTTACAGCTGGAAGTGAAAGTACATTCATTGAAGGAAAAACTTATTGACAACGAGAATTTGACTGACAAATTAAAGATGACGTACGAATGTCAAATAGATAATTTGAATGTTATGATCACTAAGCTGTCGAATTACTTGAAAGATAAAACTTCGGAGTATGATGCTGTTAGAAGAGAGAAGGAACGGTTGGTGCAAACCATAGAAGAGAATGGTCAAGGTAAACTATGTTTCCTATTCAATAATTTTGTTTTTTTTTGTTAAATTACAGTTAATAGAGTGCACAGTTCAAACGGCTGGGCAACTAGCTGCCGTGCAATTTGGCGCGGGTTCGATACACGCACAGAATAGTTCTTTTTATGATCCACAAATTGTTGTTTCGGCTCTAGGAGTGTTGTTTATCCGAAAATATATGACGGTAAACTCCCACACAATAGGAAATACGAATTAAATGCAAGAAAGAAACGTGAATTTTATGCAACGTTAAAAGTGTGTCATTTCGGAATTGTCTGAGGCCTTCGATTCATTGAACAACAATATTGGAACATACTAAATACATTTCTTCGAAAATATTTGATCTGAAGATGGAATAATTGCTTTTGAAGTAAAAATAGTTATTGACTAAATAACTTATTGAGGAAACGTATTATAAAGAATTGAAAAATAAAATAGGTTTCACAGGGTCTCATATTAGGTCCATTGTTTTTGTAAAAGTCTATCTGGTTTAAAATTTCATTAACTTAAAACGATAATTAAATTTACAGCAATTAAAGCATTAGAAGAAGAAATCAAACTTGAAGTTCAAAATAAACAAAAATTAATACAAGACTTCGATGCCGAGAGGCAGATACTTAAAAACATGGTGACTGTTACCGAGTCTATTATGGAAGATCAGAAAGTAACTTTGAACAATATCATTGCGGAGCATGTACGTACTAATGAGGCGTTGAAAGAAGAAAAAGAAACTATCACCAATACGTTACAGAAAGAAAAAGAAGATTTTGAAGCTAAATTAAAGGAAAAAGACAATGCTCTAGAAATGTTACTAAAAGAAATGGCTGAAGTGAAAACAGAAAAAGATAGTATTGAAAAACAACTGAAGGAAGTTATTGAGAAGGAAATAAAGGATTTGCAAGTTAAAGTGGAAGAGAAAGAAAGTGCGTTCGAATCTTTGGTTAAGACAGTAGGTGTGCTTATAAGTGCCGATGGAGCCTCATTGAACAAAGAGAGTTTTGAAGCCGAAGTACGAAAAATGAAGGATAACTTGCAAAGTAAAATTGTCGAAAATAAAAAAATCAAAGAGGAAATTAAAGAGCTAGAGGATTTGTTACATAAATATAAAGATGGTAAGTCAATTGTTACATTGTACTGATACTCGGGTTTTCCTTAAAAGGCCGGCAACGTGGCTGTGATTCGTCTGTTGTTGCGAGTGTCCATAGGTGGCGCTGATCATCTACCATTAGGTGATACGTCAGCTCGTTAGCCTCCTATTATACTTTAAAAAAAACCACCTTATTTTGTAAAATTGATATTTCTTTACATTCAATGTGGTTAATTTTATGTTAATTGCTTTATATTCCAGATATAGCTACGTTGGAAAAACGTAACGAGACACTGAAAGACGAAGCAAATATGGCTGAACAAAAACTACAAGCACAAATTGTAGAATTACAAAATTCATTACAAACGCAAATGGCAACCAATAAAGATTTGGAATTAACACTAAAAGAGAAAGAAGGTAATGCCAAAGAATATAACGAAAAACTCGACTTGCTAAATGAACAAATTAATATTCTCAAACAAGACAAAATTACTTTGGAGGAAGAGAAAAAATCACTAATTGACAATAATAAAGATTTGGAAAATAACATGAAGCTATATCAACAGCATAAGGTAGAAAACACTAAACTAAATAATGAGAAACAGGATCTCATTAAAACTATTGAAGATAATAAAACAGGTATGTTAATTAATGTCTGAATAATTTCTGACGTGTTTTAAAATGATAATGTTCCAAAAAAATGCATTTTTATTTCAGTGGTTTCTTATTTAGAGGCTCTGGTCAAAGAGCTTCAACAGAAGAATAAACAACTCTCTGACGACATTCAGAATGGCAAACAGGACTTGGTAAGCAAGTGCGACATACTGCAACAGTACCATGATAAGGCTGAAGTACATCTCCAGGAACGAGAAAAGGAAATTAATATTCTACAAAAAGAAATAACCACGTTGAAGGCCAAAGTACAACAATGCGAAGAAGATTCTAAAGCCAAAGACGCAATTCTATCGAAAATCAGCAAAGAAAAAGACTCCGTCATTGCCTCCGTTACCAAAGAACTAGATGAACTCAAGGCAGCTAAAGACATGTTCGACCAAGAAATACAAGAGAAGACCAAAATTATAAATGAATTGAAACAGAATCTAGAAGAAATTAATAATCAGAGAGAAGCATTACACATTCTGAAGAAAGAAAACGAAAAACTGATCAAGGCTGTAGGAATGAGAGAGACATGTATGTATATTACCGCTTTATTACTGTCATAATTATTATTGTGTATTGCTTATTGGTTACTTAAATAATCCGTATTATGTTTCGATCGCAGTTGCCGCGGCGCAAACTCAAGAAAAGACTTCGAGCCACAAGCACTCTGGTCACGCGGAGAGGGAGCTCCGCGACTTCCAGCAACAGGTAGATAACACATCTTCAGACATCACACACTCATCCGTGGAGAGCTTAAAGACCATCACAGACTTAGAAAAGATTATCAACGACAAGAACCGAATGATCACGACGCTGCAGAGTGACGTCACGTACCTCAAGTCCTTGATGGCCGAGTCCGAAACTAAACTACTCGACGTGACCAAAGACCTTGAACTCAGCAAGGAGAACTGCCATCAGCTGTCTACTCAGCTAAAGAAAATTGTACACCAGAAAAATGAGGAGATAGCTGACCTCAGGAAACAAGTCAACAAAATGTCCGTCACTGAGAACAGAGCCACGCAGATCATAAAGGTATCCGCCAAGTACCAGGCGATCATACTCAAGAGGATTGCCGAGATAAAGACCAACACTGTGCTGAAAGAACTCACCAACTTCGGCAACTCCAACAACTATGACAGCGAAGTGAAACGCAGTCTCAGTGCTGGGACTGTCACCATGGAGGATCTCGAGAACTTCCTGGAGACCACGGACAGGCATCTCAGAAAGTGCTCAGAAAAACAACTAGCTCTGCAAAAGGAACGCGACAGACTGACGGAAGTAAATAAGATCAACGAATCGGAGATACTGAACATGAAGAAGTTTTTGACAGAGCTGTCGGTCAGCTTCCAGACGTTGAGCTCCATCAAGGAAGTATACGCCACGAAGCTGAGCCGCGTCATATCCATGCAGCGCACCGTGCGGCGCGAGATCCTGGCGCTCGAGGGCCGCGTCGCCGAGGCCACGCTGGCGCGCCTCGAGCGAGGACATGGCGCCGCCGCGCAGGACCTGGCCGAGGCCGCGCTGGCCTTGCAGCGCTGGCTCGAGCGCTGCATGGCACGCACCGTCTCCGCCGAGAAGCTGAAGCAGGCTTTCCTCAGCGACAGCGAGCGGACTTCGCTGGCGAGCGCCAGCTTCCAGAACGCGGGGCTGGAGGTGCAGCTGGACGAGCTGGAGAAGCTGTTCCAGCAGCTACTGGAGGACGTGGCGCGGGCGCCGCGGGCGGAGCCCCCGCGGGACGCGCAGGCCGGCACCGTCATGGAGGTGCGCGCCGAGTACGAGGACAAACTCAACCGAATGAAGAGTAAAATGGTCAGTATCCTCCCCGTACTGTTGTTGATATTGCTATACCAGGTGGTGTGGTGGTGCTACCTTCTGATGGATCACTGAGTGGTGTGGCTTGCGATTGACCGTTATGGCTTGTGAAGTCAATATATTTATTATGTTGTCATTGTTGTTGAATAAATCGTTTCAATGGATGCTTTTGTTTTATTTTCTCGCTCGAGTGTTCATTTAAGCATCGTTCTGTAGTATAGAGATTTAATTAGAAGCCGATCCGAAGGTAATATATTTGTATATATTTATGTATGTATGCATGGCCTGTCGCACGCTGTTTGGTATCGAGCATGAGTCCGTAGTCTTCCGCCGCTGACGTATATCTCGTTTTCAGAAACAACTGTACACGGAGCAGATCGCGGTGTTCAAGGAGAAGCAGCGCGGCGAGGTAAGCGCGCTGGAGGCGGAGCTGGCCCGGGCGCGCGCGCGACTCGGCGCGACGTCGCGCGCGTACGAGCAGCACGTGCGCGCGCTGACGGCGGAGCTGTGGGCCGTCGGGGAGAAGTTCCTCGCGCAGCGCGACCACGCCGCCGCCGCGCGCCGCGCCGCCAGGTCCGCCTCGCTCATGTCGCTGCAACACGTGCACTCCGTACGTATACACTCACAGCGCTGTCTCCAACCCATGTTTCATTCATCACATTACACGTTTATTTTGGTTGCAGTCTGGCCTCGTACCGTTCCAAGAAGAAGTAGACCGTCCCTCCGACTCTCATTCGCTGCGCTCTCTACCTGTACACCACGGCGCCAAACGAGGTAACGAAATTTTTATTCAATTTCGACAGAAATTTTCTTACATCATCATCAGCCTAAAAGTGCCCACTGCTGTGCAAAGGCTTCTTCTCACACGGAGAAGGTTTAAGCATTAATAACCACTCTTACTCAAGGCGGATTGGCGATCTCAAACTTATAAATAAGAAATTATTTTTAGTGGTGTCTAAATAATCTAGAAAAATTACATATAGGTAATTCACAAAAGTCATGTTGGTATTTGCCAGGTTTAAAACCGGCACCTTCATGCATGAGAAGCAGGCGCCCTTACCTCCGGACCACCACGACATATTATTACACCACGATATATGTACATTTTGTTACTTAGAAGCAATATTAACATATTTTCTTGTATTTAACGACAACAGAAGACCGCGACCGCACGTTACACATGTCGGACGAGGAAGGCGAGGTGTTCGACAATCGTTGGCTGAAGGAGCTCGCAGCCACGCCACGCCGGGAGTCGTATGCCCCCGGGATCCGGGACCCCGCAGCGCCCGGCCCTCAGGACGCCGCGCCCCCCGGCCAGCGCCTGTCCGAGCTACGCTGGCGCAACTCTCTATGCCCTCCACACCTCAAGAGCTCATACCCCGCTGAAACACAGTTCGCGCAAGCGGTCGACGAGGAAGACATCAAGGTGACTTGAAATACATTTTTAAAGCATAAGTGGAATACTATTTCTTTTCGTTTTAACTTTAATTATTAGAGGGTGATTAAGTCAAATCAATTTAACAAAAATGTATGATGATCTTCAACCCAAAATTAACGATTCTGCAGATTAAAACGCGAATAATGATTTTATGAAATTAAATAGCACTAATGCTTACAAGCAATTAAAATATTGAATAATAAGTTACTATAAGATGTTTAATAACCCGGGATGAAAATGATGTGTTAAAGAAAAGTTAAGTTTTTTTGAAGAATTTTAAATTGTGGTGATTTCTACTGAACATAAAATTACTTACGGCGTGGGGTGTGTTCCGGATGAGCTCATGAACAGTATATAATTACATTTGTCACATGGCTATCAGAATTGTGTGTAACGCAGTTGTTAACGTTGCAGTGTATCGGCGCGGCGGGGGCTGCCGGAGGCAAGCTTCAGCGCAAGGAGGTCGGCATCACCGCCTACAAGAAGCCAGGCCCACCCACTCCCAGTAAGCAGGCTGGCAGACTCTCCGCTACCGTGAGTACCGTTTTATGTTTTAACAACCAAATCGATTGTAGCACTCACAATACACATAATGAATGGGACAACCAGTCATTTCGTACTTAACCGATTTATATAAACTAAAATAAACACTTATGTGGTAACGCTATGTAACATCATATTTTAGTATCAATAATCGAATTAAACTTAGTCACAACTTAAAAAAAAATTGTACCTAATCAGTTGAGAATAAAACGGCTAAAATGACTGCACTGTTCTAATTATTTTATATATTTTATTAAAATTTTTATTATCAATATGGTAATGTTTTACAGGACTCTGAGCTCCGCGAGTCGCTGCGCGTGGAGGCCGAGCCGCAACCGTCCCGTAAGACGAGCACGCCGTCCCGCATCCGATCTTTGTTCCGATCATCCAGAAATGATACCGAAGTGAGTACTTATTTAACTTTATAGAACTATAATAAGACATACTAAAATTATTATAAGGAGTTACGCGGCCTCTTCTCATGAATAAGAGTGCGACAATAGGCTGAACTGGAATAATAACGTACATCATAGAATGCCGGCGTAAAACATCGCATTCGTTATGTTCCCCGTGTGAGCGAGGTTATCGAAGGCCTAAATGTAATGAAATCCACAAATTATTCCTGAAGAATTTCAACTTTTGATGGCTATTGTGTAATCCGCCTACACGTTGTAGTAACATAACGTACTTTCTGAATGATAATTTTTGTACAATTATCTTTGAAATAAAATTAGACTTTTGTGTTATGTATCAAATATCATCAATATTTGTAATAAATATGTAAACATTACTGTTTTCTATTTATTTCAGGGAACCCCACGAAGCAGAAGGCTGAGTAACATTTTCAGAAAAAAATAGTTTTATTTTTTATGTATTGATTTGTGAAACGAAATTGTTAATGAATAAATTAATTTATTGCTTTTATACTTTGTTGTTTTAGTTACCCCAAAACGGTTATGGTGACTCGAATTAGCAAATTCGCTTGGTTATGTTTCTGAAACATTAGGATTTTCTCATGTGTCACATCAGCCAGTTGCAAAGCCACTGCGCCAACAGTGCAGTTTCAAAAAATATTATTATAAAAACACTTCAATTCAATACGCCTAGTTTCACTTATCATCGCAACCTTGCAACTACAATACGCCGACAAAGAATCAGTGTAATCGGGCATTGCAGATTTTAAAAATAATTTATCATGACTACCATCGCCTCCGGTGGACTAAATTACTATTTTATACTATTCCCCTCTAGCGCCTCTGACAACAAAAATTTTGAATTTTGATGTTCTATTTCCTCCCTTTTTTTGTTCAGGGGATAATCATCTAATGACTTCTTCCGCCCATGGTAAAGCGAGAGAGTGTCAGACTCTTACTGACTAAAAACCCCCCGTTTCTTCTCCTGCATTAGGCCGTGGTCGCGGTGACTCATTGCATTAACCCGCAACCCAAGCTGAACATCAGCCCTGTTGGGCTCCGTCTGTAGTGGTCATTTGGCTTTTCGAGGCGCGCGCGGTACGCTACGCGCCGTCCGCAGACCCGCGCTTACGTTGGCCAGAGGTCATCTCTCGATCACCGACATCCGGAATGACGCCTACTGCCGCGACTGGGGCGTCAAGAGGATAGTTCCCTCAGGCGATCCGCCTCCTCCTTTGTGCGATCACTGCTTTAAAGAGGAGACTGCTTCCCAGCTCCTCTCGCTACGAACCATTGTCTCGGCAAAGGCCGGACGCGAGGCCGCTCACTTCCCCGAGGACACGGCGGAGCTCAGCCCAAACAAGGCACACAATCACCGTATGCTCCACCGTATCCTTAGGGCTTATTTTCTCCTTTTATGTTATGATATGAAGCTCGAGTAGTTCAGAATAAATAGTTTATAATGTATTTTGAACTTTATTAAGAGTTAAATATTTATAAGGCATTTTTACGAGTTAGTTACAGTTGTAACATAATAATAGATATACCTATATAAGAAATCCGATAGAGAGGTCTGTAGGCCATAGTAAGAAATTCCGGGACAGAAATCTGGGTACAGCAGCTATGGTTTTACAATACAGTATAATAATTGAAATAAAAGCCAGTCAAATTACATTTCATTTTGTTTAATTCATAGAAGTACACCACGAAAATCACTATAGCACCAAACATTACATACAAAATGTACAAAATTGTGCCAGTTTACGCATCACATTCAACGAGGGATTAGAAACCTAGCTCATTAACACACTGCGTATCTTGTATTAAAAGTTAACGGGATCGTTCTTAGCAGACTTACTACATTGACAGTAACTTTTGAAACTTAATTAAAAAAATACAAAAAATCTATTACTTGGATAATCTATCTATAATTTTACAGCTGTTCTTTTAGTGTTAATTTTTATACAATTTATTTAGTATTATCTATCTTCATATATTTTAATATGCAGCATGTAAAAGGGTGAATCAGGAAAATTCATTTAATATAACTAAAGTCAAAATTATTTAATTTAAATTAAAAATAAATAAAAAACAAATATAAATCGTAATATACAAAATAAATGATTTAAGTATTTACAAAAACTCAATAAGAAGTAAATTAAATAATCTGCTGTTTAAAATTAGAATAGAAAAATAATGATATTACTTGTGAAAACATACTTCTTATTGATTTATAGATAATAATTATGGTGCCATCATCAACAATTGAGCATCAGCTTGTATTTTGTATGGACTGAGCTGAGTTGTACTAAAACTCGGTGATAAGGTAGTTTAAAATAATGTCCAAAATATTGAAAAAAAATAACACTAAAGGTTTTTCTCAATATAGTATGTGGTTGTATCGACAATACAACGAACTTAAAATAATTAAATTTTCAGATTTATTCACAAATTAAGAAATTCCCAACTTAACGATTGATTTTTCTCGTTATGAATATCGAGACTAATGTTAATCGAATAGATAATTAATTATTGGTAATAAATAATAAATTAATTGATATAAATGTTTCTATTTTTTCTATATACAAATGTGCATATAAATAATATTAAATATTAATCTCAAAAATGAATATTCGCTACACTTTTCAGTGAATTTCAAAGCTACTTCGAAATTAGATTGAGCCAGAAGTAGGTAAATGTTGTAAATAAAGAAACTATATCTTTAACACAGTTATATTTTTACTTAGTGTTTACTATAGAGAATCGGGCAGGGATACTAATTCAAATGCACAAATATTTAAAATATTTTGTAAAACAGACTGAATAGAGAGTCTAAGGGCCATTTCATTGGGTCACCATGGTTGTACGAATTGCAAATTAACTAAATATTAAACGTTTTTTTATGTGTAATTAAAAAAACGTTTTTAAAGGCTAGAAACGTACTGAAGAAATATCAACTTTCCCACATATTAGAAAAGAAGATTTATCTTTAGATTATGTTTAAACCATTGTGTCAGGTTTTACCATTTACCATTTTGAATCTTATTCTCACATACCCACAATTTGAATTACAAAAACTGGCTCAATTATTTAGATCTAGGCTAAGGAAAAACCTTGTTTTGTATTAAGGCCGATTATGTTTAGCGAATTGGGTTAGCTACAGAAATTCTGGGATAGTCAATTGAGAAAGTTTAGGAAAATTAAATGATTTTTTAAAAAGGACAAACTTTTTTCTTGTCGTTTAGCTAATGCAGATTTGACCAGATAGACGTTTGATATAAACTTTACACAAAAATAAAATAAAAAATTGGAATCGTATGTGCCTAACAGCCTAATATATCTATGTACAATGTACATGCAATACTTAACATGCACAAGCATAAAAATGAGGTCGAATTGAAAACCGCCCCTTTATAATTCTTTCAACTTTACCACTCTTTGAATAAGGGCGAAAATCTAGAATACATTTGGGGTAGCTTGACGTGCTTGCGTCCATAATTATTTTAAGCTGCTGTTTCATCACTTTCATATTATTATTAGTTATAAAATGTAGGAATAAAATTGTTGCTGTCAATGTGTTATACAAACATTCTGACGCGACAGCATCATAATTATTCTCCAGACAACTTTTATTTAACTATTGAAAAAGCAGCCCTAAATAAACTTGTGTGTCAAATAGTTCTAACAGAATACATTCTATATTCAAATTTACTAGTGCATAGGTATTCATATATTTTGAAAAAAGCCCTTGGAAAACAGTTTCTTCGTAGTTCTGTCTCTATTCAGAATCCTTCACAAAGTATTGTCATCTAATAAACTGATTACGCTTAATACATTTGTTTCCAAATTAATTATATATACATATTTAAGTATAATAATATAATCATTTACATAAAACATTTCGGTTCATTGAATAAAGATAAAATTTCATAGTTCTCTTATTAACTAAAACATTTTCAAGTTATTATTAAACACACACATTTAACACAGACAAACATACATAATATATCATTTTTCTATGTAATCTATTAACTTAGTATAACAATGTTCAGTACTAAATATCTTATTGTTAGGTAAATACAAGTTATGTGTTTACGACAAAGAAACAATGCTAAAGAAATGGCAGAAAGACTTATTTCCAAATCAAGCGTCATTTATCACTTTTTCAATATTTATAACGTAATAAATAAATTCAATTTTAAAAAGAGAATGTTAATAGAACATACTTATAATAACAATTGGAGATACAACGGTCTTTCTGTCATTTGACAAATAATTATTGCTTTAATATCAAAGGAAATAAAGTAACATTTTGGATAGCAGTGTCCTAATTGGCATTAGCTACTTATTATACATACAATATACAATTGTTTCTAAACATGATTTTGAACAAAATGAGAGAAATAATTCTAAAAAAAAAACATAAGACAAGGCATATTATAGACAAGGTTAAGTCGAGTTTTTTTTTTAATTTGTTAACTCATCAACTCATTATAATCAGAATCGCTAAGGAATGGAAGTCTGTGTTTCTCAAAGGGTATACCTGGGTGTCTTTAAGGCCTGAAAAATGAAAACACTTTACTAATAGGTAGGAACGAACTAGTAGAGATTTTCTCAGTTATTTCATGTCAGTAAGTTATTATTTTCAATAAGTTTGTCTCACAATAGTTATTATTCAAAAGGTAGGAACGCTCCATTATATAGGTCTAATTATCGCTTATCACCAGGCGAGATAGCGGCCAAGCGCCAGCTAAAAACAATTAATAATATTAAAAAACTTGAATATCTAAGTGGTTTGTCTTCTTTGCCGTTAGTGTCGGTATAATTACGATATCTGGATGAGTTAATTATAATTAATTGGATATTTTTCAGTTGGTGAAATTTGGTATGTAATAAAAGTACGAAGAGAATTGTTTGCTTTGCAAATCTTTTTCTAACCCTCTGACCGCTATGGTCGGTAATAGGCGACAAACCAAATATTATATTACACTAGTTTAGGCTCGAGGCTTCGCTCTCGTGGTATGTTGATATAAAAATAGCCTCCGGACTGTATCCTATGTCTGTGCCAAATTTCATCCAGATCCGTCCAGCCGTTTTGGCGTAATTGAGTTCAAACATCCAAACATCGTAACTCTCACATTTATAATATTAGTAAGAAAGATATTATAATTTATGACATTTTCTCGTCAGCTATGGTGGACATTGGCGAAATAGCCTATTTTCCGTTCCGTTCCGTTATTGTAGCCGACCATGGCGTTCAGAAGGTTAATGAGATTAGGTGTTTTATAAATGGCGTGGCTACATCGCAGATTTGCTCACTTCAGGAAATGCTTAATTATCTATTGATATTTTCACATTCAAAATAAATAAATCGTGTAAATTTCGCGGATCTCTTGTCGATTTTTGGCCAAATCGTAAAAAAAGGGATTTTATGAAGTGCCTCCGACGTTACATAGCAATGTCTATGGTCTCTCGCGTTTTGGTTACACAATATGTATCTGTATACAACGTTTTAACAAGAATTCATAAACTTATTTATTAACTGAGGGCAAGTCAGTAAACACGCTACGTCAAATTATAGTACATTGAATGCCGTGGGCAGTTTGCACACTTCTACTCGTGTCAGCTAGTTATTTACTTTACATTATGTATTGTATACGCTAATATATTTCTCTCAGTATTACGTTAATTCTATCCTCATTATAACGCTCCCTCAATATTTGTTATGCTGTTAAAGTAGTGCATCGAGTCGAGTAAGCCGAGGTACTCTGACCACAACAATCCTAACTAAACTTACCAATAATTACAAATTTAATATTTGACTTCAAGATAAAATTGGAAACAATATTATTATAAAACGATCGATTACAGAAACAAAGCAACGTTTATATATTTAATAATATTAAAGGAGAAAGCTCAACATTTCATAAAAGGGTATTTATGTTAGTCATCGTTAGACATACCTAGTAGATACTACACGTCCAGTTCTTGGGTAACAGTCTGTATCCGCGACCACGGCACCACTGTGCACACACACGTCGAAACGGTTCAATACGTTATAGTGTCTTATCACACACATCACCAGCCTAGCTATGTAACCGTAATGTTATCTAACCAGTCGTCATATAGTGAGCACGGATGCAGGTGTGTGGGCGCGCCTAGAGGCAGGCGTGCGGGTTGTGTGAGCACCAGCGCGGCCAGAGCGGCGCGGCGCGCACCCCCCGCGCCAGCAGCCGCGCGCGCTGCGTGTCCAGCCGCAGGTACACGTCGGGCAGCGCGCCCTCCGCGCGGTCCGACCACAGCCGCTCCGCCAGCGCCGCGGCGCGCGGCCAGACGCGCGCGTCCAGCCCGCCCGCCGCCAGCTGCTCCGTCCACTGGCAGGCCGCGCCGCCCTCCACGCGCCACGCGGCCGGCCCTCCGCCCTCCTCCGTCCACGGCCGGTGCTCGTACACCTGCTGCCAGGAGCGGTACGGCCCGCAGTGCCCGTCCGAGCTGTCGCGCCACGACCCGAACCCGCAGTCCAGGTACCACGCGTCCACGTGCGACAGCACCGAGCGGAAGCCGGCGTCCAGCACGGCGCGCGACTCCGGCCAGCGCGACGAGCCCCACACCTGCACGCCCAGGTGCCGCGCGTCCAGCCGCTCCAAGTACGGCGAGCGAGTCAGGCGCGACGACCACAGCAACACCAGCTCTGGCAGTTTCCCCCCGTTGGCGCGCTCCAAAGCGTGCATAGCGCGTCGCGTGAACTCCAACCACAAGTCCATGGGGTCAGTATCGTTGAAGTGCTGCGCCCAGCAGCGTTCCGACACCTCGTCTCCTCCCAAGTGGAACAGGTCGTCGACCTCTGTAAGCGCGATAATCTCGGCGTAGATGCGTTGCAACAAATCGTACACGTGCGGGTTCCTCGGGTTAAGCTGTCCACACGGGGGCTCCCCGCAGTACGCGCTCCAAGGCTCAAGCTCGACGCAATGTGCGAGGTGCCCGAGCCCAGCAGTGGGCCCCCAGCTCCAGGCGCGGCCCACGTGCGCGGGCGCATCCACCTCCAGTAGGACGCGGATGCCGCGCAGCTTGGCGTGGCGCACGATAGTCTTCACATCGTCGGAGGTGTACACGGCGCCGGGCCCGTACGCGCCGTGCTGCGCCAGCTGGGGCGCGCTGTCCAGCCGCAGGGGGAACGACTGGGAGTCGCTCACGTGCCAGTGGAACGTGTTCATCTTACACGCAGCCATGGCGTCTATAGTCCGCAATATCTCACCAGTCGGGAAAAAGTTTCGCGCTGTGTCCAGTAGAAGTCCGCGGTACGGGAACCGTGGCGCATCGACTACAGTAGCCGCCTCTAATATCAGCAAGGAGCCTGCGTAAGGGTCCATCCACACTATTTGTGACAGGGTCTCGAGGCCGTGCCGCGCGCCACAGAACGAGTGAGCAGTGATGTCGGCCACGAGGGACTTCCTGGAGGGCCGTAGCGTCAGTTTGTAACTCTCATCTGTGTCGAGACGCATGCGCGGGTCTGCGCTGCCGTTGATGGCCACGCGCACGAGTACGTTGCGCGGCGAGCCGTAGTCAGCGGGGCGGCGCTCGGTGCCAGCGCTGTGCTCCAGTGTGCGCATGTCGTCCTTCATTAGTTCGAAGGCATCAGCGAGATGGTCGGAGACGTCGCGTGAGGGTGACGTCACAATTTGGAGCTTGAACCCGTCTGCCCGCACGGGCTGCACCGCCGTGGCGAGGCTGACGGCTCCCGTGGGCTGCGGCCACAGTTGCGTGGAGTCGCACAGCATGTTGCAGGTGGGCAGCGACTGCAGCGTTGTTGTCTCGGAGGCCAGCAACCGCTCACAGCGCAAATTGCGACACACCCAACTCCATTGTGGTTCCACACCTCTGTGAAAGTATAAAGATATTTTGTTAGAACATAGACTAGTAAGGTATTTGTTTTAATGGGTAATTTGGTTGTAGAGTATTCTAGATAGAAGTGTGTACGTACTCGTAGAGCGCGTGCAGCGGGCGGTGCGCGCGGTCGTCGCTCTGCTGGCGCCAGTACAGCAGCGCCGCGGCCGTGCACGCCGCCGCCGCCAGGAGCAGCAGGGCACGGCGCATGCGCGCCACCCGCGGCAGCTGCGCAGACGCACCGCGCCCGAGGCCCTCGCCCCACCACTTCATCTCACCGCCTATCTACGCACCTGAAATAGTTAAAAATATAGAAAATTAACAAAGATAATAAAAAATATTATTTGAGTAAATCTGCAATTTATTTTGTACTACTATGTAAGGTAACTTCAAACGGATCTACCACTACGGAAATTTCAGGGCCTAAGCTTAATTAAGAATCACACTATGACCGATATCACCTTTACAGAACACCATTAAAATCAGATCAGCACACACATGAATGAAGTATATTATGATATATATTTCGGTAACATTATGACGAGGTCAATAAACGTAACGGGTTTCCATTGTAACCAGTCCAACCAGACACATGTAGTATGTTAAAATCTAGACCTGACTTATATTTTCTTTATTTATTATAAATGTATCAATTTATAAATAAGATTTTATATGTAAAACGCTAAAAAATTAAAGTTGTTACCTACTCAACTTCGTTTATAAATAATATTAGTAACTACTTCCTAAGTAGATATTATTGAAGTGAGTATAAAATACCTAGGATTTTTTTAATGTACATGTCATAAAATTTGCTGATAAAATGTAAAAATAAGAGAATCAGTTCAGTAATCAGTCCAAAGGTGTATGTGAATAAGTGTTGAAACAGTCAATGTATAATTCTACTGTTATTTCCACGTAATGTTCAAAAAGTGTTTGAAAAATGCAACCGCAATGCAATTATTTATATTGAAGATTATTTTTATTTTTCTTATATCATAATTGGGTAGTTTCCTAGGTCAAAAGTAAATTAATTCGACGTTTGAATACAATAAAATATTGAAAAAATACTTTTTTAGTAATCGATACACTAAATTTAAGATATTTATTAACTAACTTTTAAGAAATAAGTTAGCTATTTGACGCTAAAATACTATGACGTCATAACTCAGCGTTTCACAAATTACACAGAAAAGTATCGCTTTTGACATTTGGATAAAAGTATTGAATTTGACTAGTTGGAAACTCCCGCATTGGTTTCGTGCCAATTAATTATAAACACATTTATTATAGAATCTAACTGCGATATTTTTTTAATGACTCCCAAAACCGCTGCAACTCCTGTAAGCCAGGATCTACAGTAGATATCATTTATCTGATTCCTTTGTGGATTAACTAAACAAATTTGAAAGCAACAAATAAAAAAGCCATATCATTATTGCGCGACATCAAACAATAAACCCAACAAAGCAAGTAATAGGGTCATAACAAATCTCCGGTTTGTATTAAACCCTGCATGTTTAAAGTTCTTTAATCTGCGAGAAAAGCAGTAAACTTGGATGCAGTCATGCAGTAAACATTTCTACGGCATCGGCATTCGTTTTACAAGACAGCGAGGTGACTAGGTGTCTATGCGAAGTGTCTAGGTGTCTATTTCGAGAGAAGCGCTAAAAGGCGTGAGTCTTCGCTTTTAGGTCACTTCGTTCAAATTGGTACAGGCCTTCGCTTTTTGGTGTAGATGTATTCATTTATAAGGAGAATAACAATAAGAATTGCCTCGAGGGTCGGCTTGTCGTAAGTGTGAGTGCCGATCAAGGGGTCTCGGGGTTCTTTTTTGAGCCGAATAAAGTGTTATTGAGGCGTTTTTGTATAATATACTTAATAATCGTGCGGAGTGTTTTTTTATGGGAATTGAAGGTAAATGCGTAGACGGATCACCTATTGGTAAGCGATCAGCGCTGCTCATGGACATCCGCCGCATTATCTCACACAAAGTTTCGTGAAAAAACGCAAGTTTGTTGCTTGACAATCATTTCTATGATGGGAGTGCTGATAGAAGTGCGTGGGTCGATAGCAAAAAAAAAAACCACAATCTTTTCGTTTTAATGATTTATAATAATTAATCAACAAATTAACAGATCTAAGCACTTCTGGCTACCCCATTAGAGTGTAAAAGGCGTGATGTTATCTTCCAAGAGAAAACTGGAACAAAGTTAGGCTATATTTGCGTCTGGTTCCGGAAAGTATTCGCTGCGGACCTGTCTTTTAAACTCAGCTGCAGATAACTGAATACAGAAATAAGGGCACTGAAATTTTAAAGTGCTAGACGAAATTGGTTAATTTCCGAGGTCAAAAATAAATTTAATTACAAATATTTATCTTACTTTAATTGATGTCGTGGTAGCCCGGAGGTTAAGAAGCCCGCTTCTCATTCATGAGGGTGTAGGTTCGAAACCTGGCAAGTACCTATGTGACTTTTTCCGAGTTATATGTACTTTCTAATATTATTTAGACAAGACTGACATACGGTAAATATCGTGAGGAAACCTGGGCTTATAATTTCTAATTATAAGTTTGAAATCGCCAACCCGCATTGAGCAAGCATGGTGATTAATGCTCTAACCTTCTCTGTATGAGAAGAGGCCTTTGCTCAGTAGTGGGCACTTATAGGCTGATGATGATGATGATCTTACTTTTATTCGGTGATCTACTTACTTAATGTTGGATTTTTCTAATTAATTCTTAGTGCAGTATAGTTTTTTATCTCTAAGCATCAGCCTAAATAGATTTATTATTATGATGGCCATGTAATTAGGGATTTGAGGGCAGGTCGACTCGTGGGTGATAAAGGTGTATTTAATTTTTGGTAATAAACTATGTTGTATGTATAACAAATTTACTAACTATAATATAGTGTCAATGAGTCATATTGTTGCCAAAAATCAAAACCATTATTTTTATAACAAACTTTGAGAGAAACTCAAAATCATTTATTCCAAGTAAACCATATGTATAAAATTTATTTTTTAAACGTAAACCTATAGGTACCATTTGTACTCTAGTCTATTTGTCAGTGAAACAGGTGAAACTACGTTGATAAATTTCGGCCCAAAATTTGCTCACGCTCAAGAAGCCAGTGATGTCGCCAACGTTGGAACCCGCCTGTCAATAAGAAACTTATTCAGACCATCTTGACCCTTATTGCATTCATATTTTATGACTTAATTTATTATTATATTACTAACGCAAAAATGTTTAAATTTGGCTGAATGGCAAAACCGCAAAATAATGCGGTATAAACTTAGATTACTCTGGATTATCCCAAAGACAAATTTTCACTATGGTAGTGCGGGCTATGCCATTGGCGAATCTGGCAAGGACATCTTGCTAACATAATTCAGGTAATTAAAAGGCTGAAGATAATATAGCATACTTTGTGTTCGACAGATTGGGCCTTCGTTAACACCACACACACGGCGAAACACAACGCTGTGATTGTTTCACGCCAGTTTTCTGTGATGCATGTTGTATTACTTTCTCCCTTTAAGTCTTTTATATTAATTATCAATCAAGTACTTAGTTTCAATCTATTATTAAAATTAGACCGGTTGTTAGTTCGTTTATCTAATAGGCTACTACATTTGTGGTTCAACTAATAACTGTTTTGGTTAAAATCAAGTTCTTCTTAATGGTGATAACATTTCTTTTGAAGCAATATATAGTCTTCTCGGAGCCATGGACGGTCTATTGGACATCCCAGACTTGACAGGTAAGCATCGATCATTCTTCGTTTGGTTTACATAAATTATGATCATCTTAGATCCGTGGCATGCCCTTATGCCTTATGCGTACCAGTTTCTTCTTCTTACATTACATATTATATTCAGTATCGTAAATTTATTTATCAGTGCACGTAAAACTCAATAAGCGTCTTGGTGCACGGACCGCTAATCGCATAACATCAGCACCTAAATCTCATCCTTTACTCAAGATGTAGGTGCTCCTTAGTTATTATATTCCGGTCTTTCCACAGGTAACAATGGTGTCCAAATATTTCCTACTATTTTTAATTCCGGCACTCGTCGAATGTCGGATATCAGTAAAGATAACAGCTGCAGAGTCGGAATCAGAAGCTGAGGTCGAATACAACGGTGAGAATGTGGAGATCATCAGCGACCGGGAACGGCAGACTTTTGACATAGGTGACAGGAGCCTGAAGAATGCAGTCGAGAAGTTTGCTGATGCAGCGCCGACAGACGTGTACGTGAAGAGCCCCACTCCCTGGAACGATGTCTACAAGACTTACAAATGGGAACAAGTTAAACGGGTCCTCAGACCAGTCAGAACAAGGGTACTGGGAGTGCACACGAAGCCTGTCATCGTGGCGACACGGGAGTTTGAGAACCACAGTGGTGTCAAGGCCAAATACAACGCCGCCATCTTCCATGAGATTACGGAGACGTTCTCCAATACTTGGTCAGTTGGGGGAGAGCTCGAAATCGGGCAGGAGATCACATACAGTGTCAACTTCGGCGTGGGAAGCGCAGGCGGAACGACCAAATTCTCTTATGCTGCTAACTGGGGAAATGATACGACCAGGGAGAAGTCGGCGACGCTCGGGTCTTCGACTAGCGTGGAGGTGGAACTGAATCCAGGACAGGCAGTGATTGCGAGCCTCACGGCTACTCAAGGTACCTTAGACGTTGAGGTGGAGTACGAGGCGCGGCTCCAAGGTGTTGTATTCGCTAACTACCGCAACAAGTACAAGGACCATTACTTCTGGGCCTTCCCAATAACCTCAGTGCAGTCCGCCGGAGGTTTGCCGCGGACTATCAGCTCCACTGAGAAGATCTCTATTGGATTCTACACAAGCGCGCGCGTCGACATTAAAGACAAGGTCACCACCGGCAGGTTAAAGGTGGCACCTGCAGGCTTCATTAGAACCAAACCAAATCGCCTCGGTTAAATAAAACAAAGATTGACATTAAAATTAAGTAAATAATTATTTAACAGCTTTTTACTTTATATTGTTCAGCAAATAAAGATTTTAAAACCCTTGTCTCATGAACCATTTTCCTAAATAATGATTAGTTCCCAAATAGTTTTCCACATGATCTACTTTATCGTTAGGTATAGCCTTGGTTAGTCGGTATGCGCATACCAAATATATTTTGACAACAGTAATGACGCATTAGAATTAAATGCATAAACAAAACCATTCAATTGATGACACGATGTGATGCGATGTGCATTATGAGGTAATCTTAATTGAATTACAAATGTAAATTTATAATTTTATAACATTACTTTTCACCTCAAAACATAGAGAGAGAGAGAGAGAGAGAGAGAGAGAGAGAGAGAGAGAGAGAGAGAGAGAGAGAGAGAGAGAGAGAGAGAGAGAGAGAGAGAGAGAGAGAGAGAGAGAGAGAGAGAGAGAGAGAGAGAGAGAGAGAGAGAGAGAGAGAGAGAGAGAGAGAGAGAGAGAGAGAGAGAGAGAGAGAGAGAGAGAGAGAGAGAGAGAGAGAGAGAGAGAGAGAGAGAGAGAGAGAGAGAGAGAGAGAGAGAGAAGAATAGACCATTGATTAAGAAAGAGGATCACACGTGATAATAAATATAACAAAACAATTATCTTTTTACTGGTTTTTCTGAGGGGAATAATCGTCAAATGAACTCTCTACTGCGATGGAGTGAAAGGGTAGTGTCAGACTCTTACTGACTAAAAACTACCCCGTTTCTTTTCCTGCTCCAGGCCTAGGTCGCAGTACAATATTGCGCAGCCATGGATAACCTTATTAGTTTTATTTTAAGGTCCATGTTCAATTAGATTTCCGTCGGTCCATCAGAAGGATAACATGTAATGTATCAAAATATATGTCAGTTAAGCTAATAGCAACTTTAATCAGACATTGTTCCCAGTTCCCACTATACATATAGTTTAACTAAAAAGACAAAGTTAGCTATTTCAATATTTGTCGATAAAAGTTTTACATTTAAACTTTGAACCAGTTTAAAAAACTTTCGCGTACACCGAATAAAGTCATGAGTAGGTCATTTATTTATAATATAATCACAATCCTCTTCTAATGTAAAAATGATTTAAGTACTGTAAGTCTAGCTAAGACTCGAGAACGGCTGGTCTACTTTTGGCCAAAGAGCAATCGGATTACCAGAGGTTAAGCAATAAGCGCCACCAATGGACACCCACAACAACGGAAGAGATACGAGTTGCACACCTTGTGGGGATAAGGGATTTGAAGATTTTTGGATTGATTTAGGGGAGGATTGGGTCTGTGAAACACAACGCTGTGGTTGTTTCACGCCGGTTTTCAGCGAAACCGTTGCGTCAATCCGGTCGTGCCGACCCATTCGTGCCAAACCTTGGCTTTCTTTCAATGGGGCCGTTGATTTTCTGTTTTTGTCGCCTTGTTTTTACGTATAAGTCTTACCTTATACATATGTGTAAGTAAAAAAGGGTTAATTAAATATTTAATTAACTTTTGCAGAGTTACTTCTAGTTTTGCACCGGTTATTTTATTTTCATATCGCTGCAAATAAAAGGCAATCGGCATTTCGTGGAATCTAGATTGGCGAGGTTTTTTTCAGATTTACTAAAATCGAAATCAGTTCGCAGTGAGCTACAGTTCATAGAATAGTTGGTATCGAATTGAAAAGCGTACGAGTTACGAGTTCCTGAATGAAAAATATTTTCGTAGGTAGCATGTTTTAAAACATCTATCAGGGTCGTAAAGGAATTGAGCTTCGACATAGGTTCTGGTATAATTCCTTTTTAAAACCGATAAACACATACAACGCATCATAAAACAGATGATAATCTTTGATTTTGCAATGACGATTCAGTCAATCCAAGGCCAAACCTTGGCTGACTGGTTGTTGTTCATTTTTTTTTCTAAAATGAAACTTAGATTTATTTATGTTTTCGTTTTCGACCTTAACATACAACATTGATACAATATTTATTCATCAAAACACAGAAGGTAGAAGCTGCAGCCAAATTGGCAGTGAAAAGTAAAATTTCTCAAAATAAACAACAACGTGGTTTTCCTTTCTTAGTTTTGAATTACTTTTAAGTATGTCACCGGCTATTTATGTACCATATATATAAGAATTCCTTATTTATATTAGATTCGCAGTCAACTACAAACCTAATCCGTCTCTTGAGTCTTTTTTTCAATCTCAACTACGAACCCAATTGTGTCGACAATCCCGTCACGTAATTATGCCTGCAGTGGTGCAGTGGTGCAGTGGTTAATTGCGCTTTGTATGGTTCAAGGATCGCCCCATGTGACTCCGTAACAGCTCTTCATTCACGCTACTTGCGCAGCTCATTACCCACGCGAGAAAGATTAACGTATTTTAAATTGTATTGTTGTGTGTATACAGTGTGGTCTACCGCTTATATATGTCGGAGCGACGATTATTATAATTGAATTTTGAAGGAGGTTTTATCACAATTCATCGGACGAGGGTACCATAAATCGTACTCTGGCGGAACGTCAAACTGGCAGTTCTGCGTGCGCATTGGTGGAGAGCGAGCGTTGTGACTGTCATCTGAGACGGATCGCTGACGTCCGTTATTTTTGTAATTTATTCGGTCTGATTATTAAATCCTACGCCCTGCGATGGACTGTGAAGACGATGATCGGCATGTTGATGTTTGTACCAACCCCCCGGTGCCTTCATATATGTATGAAGAAATAATATTGTGACTGCACTGTTGGTGCGGTGGCTGGGCAACTGGCTGCCGTGCAACGTGTCGCGGGTTCGATTCCCGCACGGAACAACTCTTTGTGTGAATTGACGTGTAAAAGTGCCGTTTTATGGCCAATTTGCAAAAATAAATTCATTGTTTCATTGTGATCCACAAATTGTTGTTTCGGGTCTGGGTGTCATGTGTATGTGACCTTGTATGTTTGTAAACGCACCCACGACACAGTAGGACAACGTTTTTTAAAAAAAAGAAAAAAAGAGAAAAAAGTCAGAAAGAGACTGACACTCCCTCTTGCGTCAGCCTGGACGAGACAAGTTATTTGATGATTTTCTCTTCACAACCAAAAATCACTCACTTTGGCCAAATTGAACAAACGCGTCACAGTAAATAGTTTGTGTGACAAAGCTCTTGCATTGTTTTCACTAGTGAGGTTACCGAAACTCGACAATGTTACTCCTTTGGTATTGCGACCATAAACCTACTAATCTCCTGCTAAAACGCAAAGATATGTACCATAAATACTCGTTATACTTGCTCACAAAACGGTGGGCATGGAAGAAAAGGCGATTAGTGCACCGCAGTCAGCAGCTGTCTACGCTTTTTGAAGACCAGAGGACGCAATGACAAAATATAATATGTATTATAGTACGGTATGGTTACCCCACAACATGAAGTGCAAAAGTTTTTATTTTAAGGATTAAAATAAGCTAATATATTTGTATTCTTTCAATCGTTGTAATTCGAGACACAATAGAAAAACAATATATAGGTATAGCTGCGGGAACGCCGGCGTTCGCTTGGAGTTTGATGAATTAAAACAATTTGAACAATTTAAATCTTGCCTATTTTAAACAAGTTTTAATTCAAAGTCAAAGTCAAAATCATTTATTCCAACTAAACCATAAATAGGTACTTTTGAAACGTCAAAATAGAGAAGTAGTCTGTCAGTCTGTTCGTCAGTGCAGCTGGGTGCTCAATTGTAAACCAGCCTGCAATCTATTCCACTGATAAGCAATGAATTCTTCTAGGAAAGAACAGAATACATCATATGGAAAAAACATTAAAATTTTGTGTACATGGACCACTATCATCATATCAAAAACATAATGTCTACTGCTAAACATATTGTTACGTGCCTGACGTCACGTTCCTGACTATGCGGGCTTGGGTAACGGGATTGGATGAAATGAAACACTAATACCGGTTTTCAGACTTTCTATTGCACTTAAGTTACAGCGTCCACGGAGTTAAGTTATCGGCGTTCCTCTCCAGCAGAGCCCGGCCGACTGACACAACTTTGCCGTTCACGCTGGCTTAACTCACTTAACTGACTGCACTTCACTATTTCACTGCACTTCACTATTTCACTCACTTTTCTTCTTTTTCACTTCTTCCTTTTCTTCCGAATCGCTTTAGACTTAGAACTCAACTGCCAGCGGTGAGCCGCAGTTCCGCTTATATACCCCCGGTTCAGGTTCTGGAACATTCAATTTCGTTATTCTTTTTGATCGTCATGCCTCCAGAACCTTCCAATAATTTCGTTATTCATTTTTATTTATTCTCCTTCTCGCTCTTTGATTTTTCATTACTTTCACACCAAAAGCTTCCAGAAAGTTCCACAAAAACTTCCATCAACTAAAAAACTTCATGCTTACGGCGGGACTCGAACTCGGGGTCTCTCTGGTGTAATCCACACGCCTTACCGATTACACCAACTCGTGTTGACAATTCACGACGAAATTTACAATCTCTAGGCAACGTTTGACAACCATCCATTGACGTCATGATGTCAAAGAGTTTGAACCACTTTTCCGTCACACTGCCCCCCTCTTAGATTCGCTCGTCCCGAGCATCGTTGCTGCCGTAATACCTCGCCAACCTGTCTATATGGACAACTTTCAAAGGGCTCCTTGAAGACTTCCGAATTCTGTAAGTAATGTCATTGATCTTCGTGACTATCTCATAAGGACCTTCCCAACTCGGTTGCAGCTTCGGAGATTTTCCCTTCCTTCTGACTGGATTATGAAGCCAGACCAATGACCCCTCTTCAAACCCAACAGAATTGGCTCGTCGATCATAGCGCGTTTTTGCGCGATCACTAGCCTGAAGACCGGCCTCCCTGATCTGCTCGTAAATGTCCAACATTTTTGCCCTTAACTCGCTTATGTAATCGCTAAACTCGGTGCGAGTGTCGCCAGGTGGACAGCCCGATACAAGATCTGCCGGTAATCTAAATTCCCTTCCAAAATTTGCAAATGCAGGCGTCTTTGCGGTACTTTCATGTTTACCAAAGTCCTCCTAATTCCCAAATGTCCTCCAGAAGATCCATCATGGAACGCTTTTAATACATCCCTTATTTTTGAACGAGGCACCACCAATTGCAAATGCTCGTCCTTGCCGTTTGTTGATTCCCATTTCCTGCACAGAAGTCCGTTATGCAGCGTAAGGCTTTTCCACTGTGCCCATAAACCTTTCGTTACCGCGCTATATTGGGCGACGTCACTCCAACTTGGCTTGTTACCACTTCGTAGCCACTCCAGTATTGGTTTGATATCCGCATCTCTTTCCTGTTCTAATTTCATCGCATCATCTCCCCATGCCTCGTCAACAGTATCAGTCCTTATCACCTTAAGAAAAGCAATTTCCTTCTTGGCACAATGCTTGCAATCTTCCACGCATGGGCGTCTCGATAATGCATCTGCGTTGCCATGAATTCTTCCGCCGCGATGTTCGATTTCAAAGTCAAATTCCTGAAGTTGTTCCAACCATCTGGCTACTTGGCCTTCGGGATCCTTAAACTGAAGCAGCCATTTCAAAGCAGCGTGATCAGTTCTGATCAAAAATTTCCGTCCC